GGAGACACAGATATTGGCACAGTATAGTGAAGACTTTGGTAACTTGGCTGCCCAAAGGTTGAAGGGCAGTTGTTTAGAATCAGTGAGTTTTTGGCCATTGGAGGTAGGTATTCGAGCAGAGGCTGGGAAGGCAGGGGAGCCTTCAGACATCTGGTGAGTCGTCACATCAGGAGGTTTGTAAGTCCTTTCCAACCCTGAGCTCCTATAGCCCTGCCCTGCTCGCGGAGGGTGTTGGAAGGACTGTCTGGCTTCTAGCACTCCACCAGCTCCGGAACTGCCCCTCTTTGCAGTCATTCGGCAGGTGCCAGGAAACACAGTGTTCCCCAGCCTTGCCACCCACACCTTATGCCTGCCTCCAGGATCATGGGACACGTGGCAGCAGCTGGGGGAAGATTTGGGCTTAATGTATTTTGGTTTATTGCCTTTGTCCACCACAGACCTCGTTGGACAGACTTGCTGAGGTTTCCTTGAAAGACACAACCCAGTGATAGCCTTTGGTCTGAGGGCTCTCTTACTGTATCATCAGTGACTCATCTATCTCACTGGGGAAGGGATGTATGATTAGTTCTTGTACCACTTTAGGGAAACTTAGCTACTGAGAGGCAGAAATGGCCATTGCTAGTTATGCAGATCTGAAATCCTGATTTCCTATGGTAATTGCTGTTTATTATCGGCTTTAAACCTGGGCCCTGGGATGGCCCACATGCAGCCTCCTTGCTTAAGTCCTGTGCCACACAACCTGTACCTATGGGTGGGCAGGAAAGACCTAGTGGAGGGGGCCAGGACATACCATGTTGGCCTGACCTAAGCGACGGAGCCCAGGACAGCAGGCTAGAGCTATGGTAGCTGAGCTGAGTTTCCCAGCTAGACACTCCCCTAGACACTTGGCTCAGATACCGTGCCCTAGCAGTGCCTGGGGAGTTGTACTCTAGTCAAGGCCATCAATGCTTGGTGGGATATTGAATTTTGAGGGAGAGCTAGCGCTCCAAGAGCTGAGCCATGCTGAAGCAGAGTTGGCCAGGCCACCTGCTGGCTGGAGATGAGGAAGAGCACTCAGTAAATTGCCAGTGACTCACGCAAGGGCTGCTGTATTAGACTCTAACTCCCTCACACAGAATGTAAGAGCTAGAGTTGAGAGAAGTCCAGTCTTCTCTTTCAGTGGGGGAAAGAGAGGCCCAGAGAGGGCAAGGGACTTTCAGGCAGTAAGACAGCCAAGTTAGCATAGGACTTGTGGCCAGGCCAAGTTCTCTCAGAGTCCTCCGAATGCTGTGGTAGGTTAGCATGCAGGGCTTGTGCAGGGGGGATGGCTCAAAGTCAGTCTTCAGCTTTTATTTCACCCAGCATGCCTCATGTTAGGCCTGTGGTACAGTGATTAGAAAGAGATTAGACCAATATTCTTGGCTTAGAGCTAAGTTCCGTGGTCCCAGGACTTGCTTGGGGCCTCACTTTCCTCAAGGCAAGCTGGTACCAACCTTCCTCAGGATACACAGGGCCCTCTGGCGCCTGGGCAGCAGGTGCCAGAGAAGAACTGGGATTCCAGCCACAGCTGAGGATGAGCTGGCTGGGCTGCCTTTTGAGATGTGTCTGTGTCCACACTTGGAATTCAGCTGAGATCAGGGGAAGGGGCATGTTATAATAGTGGAAAGTAAGGGTTTCTGCTGGGTCCTGTCTTCCCTGATGTAGGCTTTCTCCTCACCCCAGGCTACAGGACTCTGGAAGCATGTAAGAGGTATTCTTAGAGTGCATACATGAGTACTGGAGGCCCAGGGCTTTGAACAGTGGGGCTTTGTATAGCCCAAGCTTGACATTTGGGGCTGATGGTAGCAGCAGCTGCTGCTTCTGCAGACTTCCAACTGCCATTGGTTTCTCTCTTTATGTCTTTGTTTTCCTAAGTACAGCTTCGGATGCTCTGATCTACCCCAGACCTTTTCTGGGAGCCTCTCTTTACCTTTAGAGGTTCCCTTTCAGGGGAGCCAAGCTGCTGTCCCCATTCTATACATTCTCCCCCTTTTCTCAGATCCTGGGCCCTCTCCTGAATCACTGCATGGCCAACCTTTCTCCAGCACCTCCTGCTGCCGCCTTGTTCTCTTATCTTCCTCCAAGGCCTATAGTAGCATACAGCATATCCTCCTTCCCCCACTCCATCCACTTGTAGAAGGCCAGAGCTGCAAGGAAGCTTAGAAATCATCTAGTTTAATCCCCTCATTTTCAGCTATGGAAACTGAGACCCTGACGGGTGAAGCAAGGCCACCCAACTAGGAAGGTTTCTCCTCAACCTGCTGGCTCGTGAACACCCTGCCATCTTCCAGTCCACCAGTGCCAAACAGCCAATAACAGCTCCAGTAGCAGCCCCATTGTTTTTCTCAGCTTGATCTTACCTGCTGCCTCAGGCCCTCTTCCCTCCTCTGGCTGAGTTCTAACTGGTCCCGACCACTGCTACTGGTTCACAGATCAGACTGAAATACAGCAGGCAGGCCTCTGGCACTTCTACCAACAGGGAGGGCCGTGCCTGTGGGTCTCAGTTTTGTCCAGAGTGTATTCAGGCAGAAGCCAGTCAGCCTGCCATTGAGAGAGGGGTCTTGGGGGTCAGGACGGAACATGCTTCTGGAAACTTCCACAGGAGCCTGACCAGCTCAGACCCTACTTAGCTCAGGGAATCCCTCACCAACACCCCACTCACCAAGCATCTTCCTTCCCCTAGCTGCTGCTCTGACCCTTCTGAGCCTCTAATGCCTCTAAAGCTTCAGGGGCATCTGTCCCCTCAGCATCTCACCTGCTTGTGGGAGGAAGACTGGCCCAGCTGGGCCTGGGTCACGCCTGGGTTGGCCTCTCCTGAGGCCCTCCCCACTATCCTCAGCCACAGGCAAGGCTCCACCGCCCTGTTAAAGCCACTTAGCCTCTCCCTTCCATCCTTCCGGCAGATGATCCCTGCAGCAAATCCTCTTTAATCTGTAATCTGCGGTACTGCACGAAGGGAACCTGTCTCTAACCTGCCCCTTCACAGCTCGGGTGGAGGTGGAGAATATCTGACATTCCCCTTTAGGAGGTGTGGTGATCAGTAACTTGGGCATCAGCCGGCTTCACTTTGTGAAAACCTTGCTGAATCCGTGCGCTAACTAACGGTTTCTCTCCAACTCACAGAGCAACTCCCCCTCCCTTCCAAAGGCGTCTTCTTCTGGGGATGCCAGGTGGGGCGTTCGGTTTTCTTTGGGAACTGGCTCAAGCCCCCGCGGTACTTCTGGAGCTGAGTAAAAAAGAGCCAGGTGTCCAGTGCTGCCCGGGGACGAGGAGCTGAGGCTCCCCGCTCTGTCCTGGGTGACCCTATGCTCTGCGCCTCCGGGGGTCGCGGGCTGCGAGGCCGGCCCTAAGGTGGGCACCCCGACCCGGCTCGCGCCGGCACCCCTAGCAGCTGAGGTACAGGCCCCGCCCCGGGGACGACTCGCTCCGCCCCCGCCGCCGGGCCCCTCCCCCAGCTGTCCGCACTCGAGTAGGCGGGAGGGGGACCGCGGTGCTGCGAGGTCGGCGCGCAGCTCCGCAGCGGGTCGCTCGGGCGCTGTCCAGGCGGAGCCGGCCCCGCCCGGGCTGCAGCCATGGTAAGGCAGGCAGGCAGGCAGGCAGGAGGGCGGGCGGGCGCGGGTCAGGGCCGGGGTGCGCAGGGCGGGTCGCTCCCGGGCGGCTCCAAAGGGACCCGCGGCGCCGCAGCCGCGGCTGTGCAGGGTGGGAGGCGCCGTCGCCGGCCGCGGTCACAGGCTGGCACTGCTGTCGAGCGGCGGTGCGTCGTTGCTCCCAAGTTTTTCCCTCTGAGCAGCCACGGAGTGGGCCCCGACCCCTGGATAATGCCTGCGGTCTAGGATGAAGGGGTGGGTCCGTGCTGAGGGAGGTGCCCGCTGGTGGAGACGCGCATGTTGGGGTGGGGAAGGCGCATCAGTGGTGAGCGGAGGTGAGGGTCCCCATCCTCGCCTGGGTCAGCTTTTACCTGAGTAACCCCTCCTCACCCACCTACCCTGGGCACAGGGGCCAGTACCAACTTCATTTGGAAAACACAGAGGAGGCCCACAAACACTGCCTGCCTCCCCAGGAGGGATGGTGAGACGCTTGGCCCCTCCTTGCCTCAGCCTGACAAGGGGCAGTCTCTGGGCCTTTCTCAAAGGGACCCCTGAGAGAGAGAGAGGCCCAGTCCACCATCCTGCCCGGTGGGATTAGCTATATCCTTCTGCCCCCGGGGACAGGAACCATGGAAAAGCTTCCTCCTGCTGCATCTACCCCCTCCCTGCCCACCAGCCAGGTCCCTCTGCAGTGTGTGGGGGTGGGGGCACCCATCCCTGCCACCTGCCTGTAGTGGGAAGAGAAACAGTAACCCCAGCCAGCCTCCCTGGAGGTGCCCAGGTAGGAAGTTTTGATGCTTGGCTCTGAAGATGTCATCTCTTCTCCTGACATTGTTGCCAGAGCCTGCCACAAATAACATAAGGATGTCAGGACCTCCAGGCCACACACCGTCCTCTCCTCCCAGTCTGGAAGCCCCACAGCCTTTGCCCTCTGCATTGGGGAACACGAACTCTTTACAGCAGCGGGGGATCCCTGACTAGCCTGTGGGGTGGGATGGTGGCTGTGGGCAGCCTCCAGAAGGGAACTCCCTGGGCCCCCTGGGATCAGAAGCTTTCAGGACTGGTAGGGCCAATCTTTTGGGCTCTTGTCTCTCAAGCTGTGTCCAGGCAGAGGCCCAAGCCTTGGCCAGGAAGTCTTGGTAACCCTGTGACCTTCCCCAAAGGGGGGTTCCTGGGAGAGGCCTGTCCTTATTCCTGTCCCCCACTTCTCCCCACATGGTGGATGGATGGACTGATTGTTCTAGGGATGGAAGCCTAGGGAAGTACTGATTATCCCCAGTGCCAAGTCCAGCAGGGGCTAGAGGGGCTTTTTCTGCCACATACTAAGTTCAGTTCAGCTGAGGTCTTGATGCTTTCAGCTTGTCTGAGGCCACCCTGTTCTTCTCTAATTAAAGACACCCCCCCACCCCAACCACCACCACCAAAGTCCCCATCCTCAGGCCCCTGCCCTCAAGCCAGCCAAGTTCTTAGGCTGACTGGTTCAGACCAAACTCCTCTATGAGGGTCTCTTTGTCAAAGGAGGTCAGTGTCCCAGCTGCTTTGGGAATCAGTGGGGGAGACCTCCCCAACCCAGGTGCCCCAGGGGGTTTAAATTTACATGTGAAGAGAAAAACAGGCCAACATTAATGACTATCCTGTGACTTGGGATGCACCTTCTCTTCTCAGGTTCAAAGCAGTTTAAGGAATCTATCATTTGGGAGTGCTTTCTCTCCCCGGCCTCCCTGGGAGGCAAGGAAGGGCCATTCACAACTGAACATTAAGGTCCTCAAATTAAGAAACTATCCAGACTCACAAAAGATGTTTCCACCCAACCAGAAACAGTGGCCCCCTGACTCCTAGTTGAGTGTACACTTCCAACCAGGCCCCTTAATTTGTCTCCCACCTAAATGGCAGCTCTGAAGCTTCTGGGCTTCCAGCCTCCCCGTTGCGTTGAACCCATGCTCCTTAGAGACCAAGTGCTAATGGCTCCCCTGTTGATGCTATGGAAGTCATGGAGTGATGGAATTGATACAGGTTGCCATGAGTCAGAGGTCAGGTGTCCTAGGGTAAGGGGAGTCCCTGAAGCAAAGTACCCTCTGTGGCTGGTGCTCCCTGCAGGGAAATCTAGGAGCATATTTCTGAAGACAGTGACATTCCCCACTGGGGAAAAAAAAATGAACGCTTGGGAAGAAGTGTGGGACCATTCCCATGAAAACCTATATGGGGAAGTATAGGACATCTCATCCTACTCCAGCACTGCTTAAAGTTAAGATGAAAGAGAGAGATTGGGGGATTCAATTCCTTTGGGAATGGGTATCCTGGGTGACTGTCCTCATGTGCTGATGGGCCAGGTCATTTGGGGACAGCTCATAGTCCTCAGGCAGACCACAATGTCCTTGGGGGTTAACAGGAGAGGTCAAATGGATCAAGAGCCTGTGCTGCAAACAGACATTGGGAGGTTGGTGCTGTGCCCACCAGGGTAGGCAGCAGGCAGGCGTCATGGGGCAGCCAATCAGAGGAGGAGGGGACTGCAGAGGAACCAAGTGATCCTGCTGCAGCTGAGCTGTCCTTGGAGGGTGGGAGCCAAGGGAAGGGGAGGAGAAGAGGGGTGGGGAAGGACATTCCACAGGCTTTTTTGGCCCCTGCCAGAGACAGAAGGAGGTCAAAGAGAAAGGGAAAGGAGCAAGCCAGGAAGCCAGACAACAAGAGCATCAAAACAAGACTGTTTCTGTGTGTGAGGAACTTTGCCTGGGAGATAAAATTAGACCTAGAGCTTGCTGACAGGGAGTCTGAAGCGTGGGACATGGACCGTTCACTGGGATGGCAAGGGAATTCTGTCCCTGAGGACAGGACTGAAGCTGGGGTAAGGTGCTGCTCTGGGAGATGGGTGGACATGACCTGTCTTCCCCCTGCCTTGGCTGGGATTGGGGCTGAAAGTCAGAAAATGATTTGGTCACTGGCAGAGCTGGGAGTGGGCATGGACAGGCAGAAGGCGGGGACCCTGGTGTCCTGACTCCTTGTCTAGAGCCCCTGTGGCCCCCTCCATGCGGATGAGCAGCCAGGGCTGGCAGAGATGAGGATGGTGCTGGGTTCCTGGAGGCACTGCTGGAAGATCGTGGGGGCTAGGGATCTTCATTAGGGCCTTCCTTTCTCCCATCCCTGCCCCTCCACTCAGTGCCCCTGGGAAATCAGGTGAAGCACAGCTTTCTCTGTCCCACCCTTGTCCTGACCCGCAGACCAACTACTGGGTCATTGTGGATTTGTGCAGAGAGGCAGGATTTCCTGGAATTCCCCAGACTTACTAGCTGCCAGACAACAAGTCCTGCTGCCCCCCAGTCCCACCCCTTCTCTGTTGCCATGTAATTAATTGTCCAAGCTGGGACACTTTGAGAGTGAAAGGGCACAATTAATCACGATGCCAGGACAACAGGCATAGAATGGGATGTATGGTCGCCACTGGACCTCACAAATATCATGGGTGAGAAAAGCCTTGGGTTAGGCTTGCCTCAGGATAGCCTCTTCTGGTCACCCAGCCTCCACCTGCTGGTTCCAGTTTTGGGCTGAGGGGCCTCTTTTCCTCCCCTCTGTCCAGGCAAGCACTGGAGACTATAGTTATAAGCAGGTGTGAAGACTTGAGAGGCAACAGCCTGGCAGTAGCTCCTAGCAGACTTTTCCCTTTAACCTCCCTATCCCAACCTCTTCCCTCTGGTATACACCTGGCAGTATGCATATCTGCCTCCCTCAATTCTTCCCTTTGCAGGAAGACTGTGGCCATCTTATCTCCCCCACTCTAGTTGGGACTCCACAGTGGTCTGGGGTAGTCCCCACTGGCTTGGCTAATCCCCAGAGAGTGAGTCAGCCTCTGCAGCCGGCCCTTGTCTATTGTCTGGGGGTGGCACGTGGGTATTGTGAGGCAGAGCTGAGCCCAGCACTGCCAGGCACCCCACAAAGGAGGCTGACCCCAAAGAAGAGGAGAATCTTTAGGGTCTAGAGCTGACAATGAGAGTTGGGGGAAACAGTCCCTCTTCTGAACTGGGGATGGGGTAGAACAGGCTTCTACAGAGCAGTCAATCCATTCTCTGCCTTCCACTCCCTGTGGGTCATGGTTTAGGCCAGCCCCTCTCCTGTACTGCTGGCTCTGGGCAAAGGGGGTAAGGAGATAACTGAGGGTGCTTCCCCTTGTATGTCCGTCACAGTTGGGGGCTGTCACAAGCTCTGGAGGCCCAGCCGTCCTTCAGCCTTCCCCGGGCTCTTCCATCCTCCCTCACCTGGTCTCTCCCAGCTGCCTTCCACCCACAGTCAGCATCCACTGGCAGGTTTACTTTTCTCTTCCAGGGCCCAGGGTCAGATTTGGGTGTGGCTCAGTGTCTGAAGTAAGGGGTAGGATCAGCTATACTGAACGCTGGTCTGTGAACCCTGGGAATTGAGCACCGGCAGTAGAATCTGTACCCCAGTCCCCCAGCTCACTGACCAGTAGTGACAGGAGGTACAGAACCCCCCGCTGGTTGACCTGCCTGATGCAGGCAGCTTTTTTCTCCCCTATCTACTTTCCTCACGTCCCTGCCCCATTCTGATGCACTGTACTCTCCTTCTGGGTTTAATGCCTCTGTCTGTTCTATCTCAATCAGTCCGGCCTTACTTCCTGGCCTGAGACAGTCCCTGGCTAGGCCAGAACCCCAGGAAAGGCAGCCCCAAAAAACATGCTGCTGAGAAGGAGACCAGAACTGGAGTTCCTCAGTTCCCTAGAGCAGTTTCCAGGACTCTGGGGGTGCCCAGGGCTCTTCTTGGACCCTGGGGCCCTGCCTGGCATCTTGGATTGGGGAGACTTGTGAGCAGGTGAGGGAGGGATGGTGAGCACTTCCTCTGGCTTGGCTGCAGTTTCTTTCTCTTCTAACCACAAGTGCTTTCCCTTTCCCTCTTGCCTTCTCTTGTCTTCTGTCTCCTTCCTCATTCTTCCCTTCCGGCTCCCTTCCTGGCACCACCCATCTATTCCACCCACCTCGCTTCCCCCAGATCAAGCGTTTCCTGGAGGACACCACGGATGATGGAGAACTGAGCAAGTTCGTGAAGGATTTCTCAGGAAATGAGAGCTGCCACCCACCAGAGGCTAAGACCTGGGCATCCAGGCCCCAAGTCCCGGAGCCAAGGCCCCAGGCCCCAGACCTCTATGATGATGACCTGGAGTTCAGACCCCCTTCGTGGCCCCAGTCCGCTGACAACCAGCAGTACTTCTGTGCCCCAGCCCCTCTCAGCCCATCCGCCAGGCCCCGCAGCCCATGGGGCAAGCTTGATCCCTATGATTCCTCTGAGGTAGAGCCTCCAGCCCTGCCTTTACCTTTCAGTGGGCTGCTGCAGGAAGATTGGGGGCAGGGGGCAGTGTGTGTGTGTGTGTGTGTGTGTGTGTGTGTGTGTGTGTTTATCTGGGACCTCTTTCAGTCCTGTGTAAGCCCTATCTCCATGATATCTGTCCCCAAGGGCACTGGAAATTAGCAGTTTCAGCAAGGGCAGGAGGCCCAGCTGGTGGCCTCAGATGGGAACCCAGAGAAGCCTGGCACTGCTTCTTTAAGGCTGGGGCAAAGGCCTGAAAGGGAGAGAAGATCAGCGCTGGGTGCCAGGGCCCCTTTGGCTTCTCACCCTGATGCATTCTGCCTTCCTGTCTACTAGGATGACAAGGAGTATGTGGGCTTTGCAACCCTCCCCAACCAAGTCCACCGAAAGTCTGTGAAGAAAGGCTTTGACTTTACCCTCATGGTGGCAGGTAGAAAAGGGGCAGGGCTGGGTTGGGCAGGGTGTGTTTCAGGTGGGGATAGTGTGTGTGTCCATGAGTGGGAAGGGAGTATAGGTCGGAGGGAGCAAGCAGCGAGTGGCTGTACTGTTTTGCAAAAAAGCCAGGAGTCATTGGTCTATGAAAGTGTACGTGTATGGGGTGGGGTGGGGGTGGGTGTACAAATTGGTTGCAAAGAGCATCTGACCAACAGTTCCCTAGCATTTGCCTCTTTTTGTGTGACCTTGGGCAATCTCTTGCTCCCCCAAGCCAATCTCTGTGCTTCCTCCCAGCTCTAAAATGCTATAGTTTGGTTAGTCTAGTTCCGATTAGATAAGAATGCAGTTCCCCCTAAACCTTGATCCAGTGGAGTTGCTTTTTGGCTATAGATCTTACCTTCTGATTTGGTGCCTCTGTCCTCTCTCCTCTCAGGAGAGTCTGGCCTGGGCAAATCCACACTTGTCAATAGCCTCTTCCTCACTGATCTGTACCGGGACCGGAAACTCCTTGGTGCTGAAGGTAAGGAAAGGAGAGAACAATCAGGCAGACTTGCCTTGGGAAATTAAACTCACTCTAGAGTCTGGGGGATGGGGCTCTCCCCGACATGCAGGAAACCATGGCTTCCTAGAGAGACTGACAGCAGCTCTCCATAGGCCTATCTGCCTGGCAGCCCACCAGCCAGCTCCCTAAAGATTTGGGTGCTGAAGCAGGGCAGGAACCAGAGTCTTGCTCTCTGAATGAGTCTCTGACCCCCAAGGATTCCAGGAATCCAAGAAAAAACCGGGAGCAGAGAAGAGGCTGGGGCCAGAGCCAACAGCCACCGGCATTTCCTGTGTTGGGAAATGTACTCCTTGCTGGTTCCCAGAGAACAGTCCTCCAGGCAGCTTGGGGGTGGAGAAGGGGGCAGTGTGGATGAGGCAGTCTGGGCAATGAGGCTGGTTGGGGTGGGCAGTTCATCCTGACTGGGCAGGTCCCTGCCCTTGACCTGGCCTCAGTTTCCCCCTTCTCCAGAGCGGATCATGCAAACCGTGGAGATCACTAAGCATGCAGTGGACATAGAAGAGAAGGGTGTGAGGCTGCGGCTCACCATTGTGGACACACCAGGTTTTGGGGATGCAGTCAACAACACAGAGTGGTATGTCTGACAAAGTGCAATCCCAGCTGCCCCTGAGCCACCCTTCTCCATACACAGGTACACACATAGGCCCAGATATATCCATACTTATCAGGAGGAAGCTGTCTATGACCTTGAGCATGTGACTTCCCTTACTGGACAGCCATCTTCTCCTTTATAAAGTAAGAGGGAAAGGATTGGAATAGATTATTTTTAATGTTCCTTCCAATTCTGCCCTATGATTCTATAATGGGGTAGGGACATAAGAAAGAAGAGGCTGAGGCAGAAGGATCACTTGAGGCCAGGAGTTCAAGGCCAGCCTCGGCAACATAGTGAGATCCCATCTCTACTAAAAGTTTTAAAAATTAGCTGGGCATGGTGGCATAGGCCTGTAGTCTCAGCTACTGGGGAGGCTGAGGCAGAAGAATCACTTGAGCTCAGGAGGTTGAGGCTGCAGTGAGCCGTGATTGCACCACTGCACTCTAGCCTGGAAGACAGAGTGAAACCTTCCAAAAAAAAAAAAAAGATGAGAAGAGCCTCAAAAAGCAAACACATGTGAAGTGTGAAAACATGTAGCACAGAGTTTGATTACATAGTAGTTGCCCAGTAAACTGTCACCCTTTTTCCTTTCACTAGCAACATTTTAGGTGTCACAAGCAAGTCTTGTTGAAGGGCTGGGCATGCATGGAGGGAGGGTAAAGGTGAGGAAGAATAGGCAAAGGGGAAAAATGGTAGAACTTTGTTTAAACTCCAGGCACCCTCTAGGCTACCAGCAGAAAGAAAAGTTGGCTTTACCACAACCCCCTATCATTCAGGCTTGAAGGACCTCCCTCCAGCTAATGGTCAGTAAGTCTGACCATTACCTCCAGCTTAGGTAATGGTCAGACCTAAGTGAGTAGATGAAGAGGGGAATGGAGAAAAGGTGGTAGCTTTGATGAAGAAGTTAGGCAGGCAGTGCTAAGAGCGCTAGACAGAGAGTTCAAATCTTGATTGGCATTTAGTAACTTCATGATCTTAAGCAAATGATCCCCTTCAATCAATTTACCTACTGTCTCTTACCTTCCATAATACTAATAATTTCATTTGCCAGGCACCTCACAGTTTAAAGTGCACCTCCATATATACTCATTTTGTCAGACATTTATTTAATTAAAATATACCAGCACTTACCACCTCTCCAATTGATCTGAACATCACCCAACATGACGCATGCGCTCTGAAAAGTGTAAAGGGCTATTTACAGCATACTCAGGGATTTTAACAATGATAATTGCAGGACCAGCAACATAATTTGTTGGGCCCAGTGCAAATGAAAATGGAGGGCCCATTTTTCAAAATTTTTAAGAATTTCAACATGGCAACAGCAGAGCATCAAATCAGGTAGAATGTATTGAGCACATACTAGATGTCCAGCCTGTGCTGGACATTTTAAGGGATTCAGAACAAACATGAATGATTCCTATCCCTGAGAGGCTTATAGTCAAGTGGCAACAGGGAAGCAGGGGAGGTGGGGGCAGTTCTCTAACATGTTTCAGTCAGATAGCAACTTAAATTAGTAAATGGGTCAGGCAAGGTGTAGTGGCAAGTGCACTGAGCTGTAGGGGCTCAGGTGGGTAGAGAATTTACTAGCTAAATGACCTACAGAAAGTCCTTTTCCTTTCCCTTTCCTTTCCTTCTCCTTCCTCCTTTCTTTCTTTTCTTTTCTTTTTTTTTTTTCTTTTTGAGACAGGTTCTCACTCTGTTGCCCAGGCTGGAGTGCAGTGAGCTGATCACCCGCCTCCCGGGGCTCCCTGGGCTCAGGTTATCCTCCCACTTCAACCTCCCAAATAGCTGGAACTACAGGTGTATGCCACCACACCCAGCTAACTTTTTTGTATTTTTTGTAGAGATGGGGGTCTCACTACGTTGCCCAGTCTGGTCTTGAACTCCTGGGCTCAAGTGATCCACCTACCTTGGCCTCCTAAAGTGTTAGGATTACAGACGTGAACTACCACACCTGGCCTGGAGCAAATCTGTTAGCTGCTCTGCATCTAGTTTCTTCATGTATGAAATGATAGTGATGATGATCATAATGCATAATGTCGACCTGTCAGGGCAGTGAGGATTAAACAAGATAATAGAAGAACAAAGGATATGAAAATTGAGGTTCTTGGGGTAAATTTATTTATTTGTTTTGCTCTGTAGTGAAGACAAGGGGGGAGCAGTGTGTATTGGTATAGTAAAAGGAGCCTTCATGGAAGAGATGGTTCTTAGGGCCTTGAAGGATGGAGTGGGTTTGGAGAGGTGGAGGAAAGGGTAGAAACACATGAGCAAAGAGGTTCTGAGGTTACACTGGAAACCTGAATTAGAGTTTCCCTGGCTTCCAGTTGGTATTTGCCTGCAGCCACCTTGCTATTCTTTTTTTTTTTTTTTTTTTTGAGACAATCTGGCTGCATCACCCAGGCTGGAGTGGTATGATCTTGGCTCACTGCAACCTCCACCTGCTGGGTTCAAGCAATTCTCCTGCCTCAGACTCCCGAGTAGCTGGGACTACAGGTGCACACCACCATGCCCAGCTAATTTTTGTATTTTTAGTGGAGACGGGGTTTCACCATGTTGTTCAGGGTGGTCTCAAACTCCTGATCTTAAGTGATCCACCCACCTCAGCCTTCCAAAGTGCTGGGATTACAGAGGTGAGCCACCGTGTCCAGCCTATTCTTACTGCTTTGTTTGATCACCTGGGCCCTTTCCCTCTCATCAAGCTAGCATTTATTAAACTTGCCTGAGTACTCAGTCTAATTTTGTATCAGGACATGTGAGATACACCCCATCCCATTCAGGAATTTCCCTAAAGATTTAGTAAAGTAAGCCAGGGAATAACAATGTCTTAAAAACACTGCTCAGAGAGTGGGCTACTACTTCTCTGTAGTCCCAGAGCTCACTAGGTGGCTCCCACTCTCACAGTTTCTCTGCTTGTCTGTCCCTGCCCCAGCTGGAAGCCTGTGGCAGAATACATTGATCAGCAGTTTGAGCAGTATTTCCGAGATGAGAGTGGCCTGAACCGAAAGAACATCCAAGACAACAGGGTGCACTGCTGCCTGTACTTCATCTCACCCTTCGGCCACGGGTATGGTCCAAGCCTGAGGCTCCTGGCACCACCGGGTGCTGTCAAGGGAACAGGCCAAGAGCACCAGGGGCAGGGCTGCCATTAGCAGGTGGTCACAGATTCCTGTTCCCCAGGCTCCGGCCATTGGATGTTGAATTCATGAAGGCCCTGCATCAGCGGGTCAACATCGTGCCTATCCTGGCTAAGGCAGACACACTGACACCTCCAGAAGTGGACCGAAAGAAACGCAAAGTGAGGGAAGCTGGTGGTGGGAGGGGATCAGGTGGGCTTCTAGAAAGGACGTGGTCCCCAGAACTGTGGGCCCCTCATCTGTTTGTCAGATCCGGGAGGAGATTGAGCATTTTGGAATCAAGATCTATCAGTTCCCAGACTGTGACTCTGACGAAGATGAGGACTTCAAATTGCAGGACCAAGCCCTAAAGGTGGGGCCACTCTAGGGCATCCCCTTCCCATCTTGTTTCTTCCGGGTAGAAAAAGGGAGTAGAATTCTATATTCAGGCTATCAGGGTGGAAAGGACCCTGGCTTCCTAGAGTGAAGCAGAGAAGATGACGATACAGGTGGAAAGAAAGAGGTGAGAACAGAGGGTGCTGACAGGCACCCCTAACCTCTTCCAGGAAAGCATCCCATTTGCAGTAATTGGCAGCAACACTGTAGTAGAGGCCAGAGGGCGGCGAGTTCGGGGTCGACTCTACCCCTGGGGCATCGTGGAAGGTAAAGCACTGAGCCTGTAACCAGGGTATCTCCTTGCCCTCTGTGGCTCTCCCCTACCTATGCCTCTGGCTGACCCCTAGCCTTGCTATGCAGTGGAAAACCCAGGGCACTGCGACTTTGTGAAGCTGAGGACAATGCTGGTACGTACCCACATGCAGGACCTGAAGGATGTGACGCGGGAGACACACTATGAGAACTACCGGGCACAGTGCATCCAGAGCATGACCCGCCTGGTGGTAAAGGAACGCAATCGCAAGTATGACCAGAAGCCAGGACAAAGCTGGCAGGGGGAGATCCCAAGCCTAGCCTTGGGTGAGACCAAGCCCTACTTTTGTTCTTCTATAGGCCCTGGGCTTAATCTAAGTGGGTGCTGGAGTCCTCCTAGCCTTATCAACCCTTTTCTCCCCTTAGCAAACTAACTCGAGAGAGTGGTACCGACTTCCCCATCCCTGCTGTCCCACCAGGGACAGATCCAGAAACTGAGAAGCTTATCCGAGAGAAAGATGAGGAGGTGAGAGCAGTATGGGTAGGGGAGGTCCCCTGTTTGATCACCAACGTTGGTATCTCTTTGTTTGGTAATAGAAAGATCCCTGGCTCTGGTGCATATTTGGGTCCTAGATAGGTCAATAGGTGGTTCTGTCCAGAGTCTCTATCACACCTCACGGCTACCAAGGTTCTGGCTTAAGGGATTAGAAATTTGGGGCACTTCCCCAACACTAAAGGACTCTTCAGAAGGCCGCATTTTGATGCCTGTGCCTATTCCAGCTGCGGCGGATGCAGGAGATGCTACACAAAATACAAAAACAGATGAAGGAGACCTATTAACTGGCTTTCAGCCCTGGATATTTAAATCTCCTCCTGTTCTTCCTGTCCATGCCGGCCCCTCCCAGCACCAGCTCTGCTCAGGCCCCTTCAGCTACTGCCACTTCGCCTTACATCCCTGCTGACTGCCCAGAGACTCAGAGGAAATAAAGTTTAATAAATCTGTAGGTGGCTTCTGGTGTCCCTGTGTGTATTTTTATGACCTCCTGGAGATCAAGACCCTGGGACCCAGTTTTGAAAGGCTAATGGGAGAAGATGTTGGTTTCTGGCTTTTAGTAGGGAAGGGAGAGTGGGGAAACTTTCCACTTCGTTTCCCCTTCTAAGTCCCTGCTTAGAATCCAGCCTGGCTTCTCCATCTTAACGATCATATCTATCATGCCTCTATTATCTGGGGTCTGGGTCTCTCTCCATCTTTCACACATACAGTACCTTTGGTAATAGAAAGATCCCTGGCTCTGGTGCATATTTGGGTCCTGGATAGGTCAACAGGTGGTTCTGTCCAGAGTCTCCATCACACCTTAGGGGCTACCAAAGTCCTGGCTTAACGGATTAGAAATTTGGGGCACTTCTCCTGGCTAACACAGTGAAACCCCGTCTCTACTAAAAATACAGACGGGCGAGGTGGCGGGCGCCTGTAGTCCCAGCTACTCGGGAGGCTGAGGCAGGAGAATGGCGTGAACCCGGAAGGCGGAGCTTGCAGAGAGCCGAGATTGCGCCACTGCACTCCAGCCTGGGCGACAGGGTGAGACTCCGTCTCAAAAAGAAAGAAAGAAAGAAAGAAAAATAAATTTGAGCCACTTCCCCAATACTAAAGGACTCTCCAAAAGGCCCCATGCCCGGCTCATTTTTTGTATTTTTAGTAGAGAGGGGGTTTCACCATGTTAGCCAGGATGACCTCGATTTCCTGACCTTGTGATCCGCCCGCCTCGGCCTCCCAAAGTGCTGGGATTACAGGCGTGAGCCACCGCGCCCGGCCCAAAAGGCCCCATTTTGATGCCTGCGCCTATTCCAGCTGCGGCGGAAGCAGTTTTGGATTTGATACCCGCCCTTGGGAAAACACAAGGTATTAACTGCGTGCAACCTCCTGACTTTCTATTTCCCCTGATCTGGGAAAAGGGATAGGCAGGCTAAGCTCTACACTGTAGAAAGCCTGTGATAGAGCTTTGAACAAATGCTGCAGGCATTGTAATCACCAAACACTATAGTAAGTGTTGGGAATGAATAAAAACACAATCACCGCCCTACAGGAGTTCAGTATTTAATTTAAAAAATTACAGCATCTGCTAGGTTGCAGGCTGTTCTAGACCCTGGAGTTAAAGTAGTGCAAAGTTCCTGTCTTCCTGGAACTTACCAACTGTACTGAAGTTTCAATGTTCTATAAACAAAGATAGGTAAGGACCCATTGGCCCCGGGGCTTGGTATTAAAGCGCTCAGGCCCACTCCAGACCTGAGAATATCAGCTGAATCTGAATCAACTGTTGTCCATTTCTGTCGGTTGGTGGTATAGCGGGGCCACAGCGACCTCCAGCGGCCACCCTCCGTTTTGTGGTCTGTTCTGGGTCCCCGGGAAAGAAAGGCAGGGGCGATAAGCCGGGTCCTCGGGAGCGCCCTGGTCTCCCTTCCCTTTACAGACTAGGAGGCCGCAGCTAGCTGGCAGTCTCAGATCCAGGTTTCCCAACTCTGGGATGAGAGTTCTTCACTCAGGACTGGCAGCACAATGCAGGTCGTGAAGAACGGCAGGGTCGTTTATCCGTACAAAGTGAGTGTTGGAGGAACCCATCAAGACACACGAAGGCTGGGAAATCCCAACGCTGCCAGTCGGAGACGACCAAGACTGAACCTCAGGCCCAGCCCTCCCTTCTCTCCTAGCCTGCAGGTTTTTCTCCTATTCTGGCGTTGGGACCGGATGACAGCTGCGAAACCAAAACAGGAATGGATAAACTGAAGTGCCACTGGGGATCTGTTTGAGAAGTACCTCCAGGGCGGGGCCATCACCGGAAGTGGCTTAAGGCTTGTACCCTACAATGCCCGCCTCTAATTGCGCTACCAGTAGGCGACGAGCCGCCTCCACTTCCGGTCCCCAGAGCAGTAGCCAGCAGCCCCCTCTTTACTGCTCTTCTACTGGCTGCCGCAAGGACGCGCTGTGATTTCCCATTGGTCGCGTCTCCTCTCCGGCGCCGCGCCTCCTTCCTCCAGGTATAGTCTTGTCTTCCGGTATCCGATTGGCTAAAGGCTGGGAGGGCGTTTGCCCGAGTCGACCAATGAGTGGGGTCGAGAGTGAGGGCGGCGGCTGCGTGATGGGGGCAGGGCGGGACTTGGCGTGGCCATTGGCCAGGGCGGGTACAGGCTAGGGATATGATTGGTTCAGGAGAGGGGCACCGTGGTGGGGTCGGGACTGCGCGGCCTCAGCAGCTGCGGGAGACGGAAGTGGCAAGAGCGCGGCCTCAGAGGGTCGGGCGGACACCGCCTGGGTGAGTCACCGTGCCCCCTGCACTGCGAGCCTGGGAACCGCAACGACCGCGTCCTGCCCGGCCCCGCCCTGGTCCCCACCGGCTTTCCTGAGTCCCGCCTTCTGTCATTTGGGGCTCCGCCTCCCAGTCTTTAGGCTCCGCCCCTAGAACCTGGGCACCTGGGCTCCCCTGCCAACCTGGCCCGCCCTCCGGGACCAGATCCCCTAGGTCTGAAAACCCTGGGCCTCCCAGGCCTGATCCTTGTCCCTCCTTCCCTCCCTTCGTTCCCTCGGGCTGCTGCCAGTGGGCGGTGAGGCAGCACCTCTGGCTTGTCTCTTGCGGGTTTCCCCATGAGGGAGAATGGCCTAGGGAAGAGGATACTGTGAACAGAGAGGTGGGCAGGACCACAGATGGAGGCTTTTATCCCCGCAGCCTCCCGTAGGGCTCTGCTGCACTGCCCGAGGATAGCAGGCATGAAGGAAAGTGTCAGTGAAACCTGGGCCTGGCTCGCTAAGTGAGCTAGGAGGCCCCATCCTGAAATCCCTGTTACTTGGGCTCATTGGACAGCTGCTGACTCCAAGGCCTGGATTGGCCTGATTCTGTCCCTGTTGTGTGGCCTCCTCTCCATAACCTCCACCCCACTTGGTGTCAAATATACTCAGCAGGACCTGTGCAGCCCTGCTGCCCTCTGATCACAGGTTGTGGTCCCCTCCCTCTTGTCCCACTCTGGACTCTGCCCCCAGTAAACAGGTCAGGTGGGTACTACTCCCAGACTCAGAAACTGGCAAAACATTCCTGTGGACTCATGCTCCTTCCGCTACTGCCACTTCACCCAAAGATTCAGGGCCCAAAATGAGCCCCAGTTGGGCAGCCTGTGTCTCTTCAGAGTTGGCAGTTCTGCTCCCCCACAAAGAAGTGTTCTCCCTCTGCGTCTGGGAATCAGGACTCCTGAATTCTGCCGAATAATCTTGGATGGGACTCATTCCTGCTCCAGAACTTCGTGGCTGACTTCATGCCCTGCAGGATCACTTGTTGCTTTCTCCCCACGTAGCTCCCATTGCCTCTCTCTGGCATGGTGACTTATGGAGAGACTGGAGTCTCTGCGAGGGAGAAGAATAAGAGTTGTAGAGAAGGTCAGGGGTAGATGTGTGGCATTTGTTGATTCTATGGTAGTGTTAATGGGGCCCTTTACTTTTATGTTCCCTGTCTCCTTACAGTGAGAAGCAGGCAGCCAGGACCCTTGCCACGGTAGAATGGTGAGTACCCTGTCTTTCCTCAGGCCATTGTGTTTTCTGTAATCCTTGTGTCTTTCTCTGTGAAGCTGCCCCACCTCTCCTAGACCTTGAGCTCCAGGCTACCCTGTTCAGCTCCTAAACAGGTTCATCTGCCCTGGAGATAAATTAGGGTTTCTTTAGATTACACAACATCAGCCAGAATACAGCACTAGGACTGGAAGCATCTAGAAATCATTTTCTGCATGTGCTATGCCCCATACTTTCCTCATACTCCCTACCCACCACTGGCTCTATTAACCCTTCATAACAGCCCTCTTCTTGCTTTTCTTGGGTGCCCGGTAGAATCTCTGTGTTCTGGTCTGAAAAGCCAGGCCTTCTTTATCTCAAGATCCTTGGACTTCTGGTGGGTCCTTTGAATACTGTGGATGCTATATCAGGAGTGACTCCACCAAAACTGTGGGGCTTCTCCAGTTCCAGGGTGCTGCTGTTAAGCCACTACAGATGACAGCTGACTGAATATCTAGCAGGATAGCATCTTCCAGGGTGCCCAGAATATCACCAGAGGTGGTTTACAATGATCCTATTAATTTTCCATTAACTGTAACGGCCCTTCTCTCACCCCAAGTCCAGGGAAGCCCTTAACTCCTGAGAGCTAGGAGGAGGCAGTGAGATGGGAAAGGCCTAGAGAGCTGCAGGCCCTGGCCCAGACCAGGCCCTTAACCTGGTGGTATCTCTTCAGTTTCTTTTAGGTGTCCCTTGTGCTTAGGGGCAGGTTAAAGAATTCAGTAGATGAGAGGATTTTCTCCTTCCCTCCCTTCCTTCCATAGACATGTGGATTTGGTGTGTGCACTATTGGTTCAGTCTCTTCTCAGAAAGCCTGCTGGGTTTGGCCCCCACCGACAGATAGCTCCTTTTTCTCTTCTGGGCTACCCTGAAAAGAGCATGGGCTTCAGAGTCAGCTTCATCTAATTTCAAATCCTAGCACCACCACTTAGGTAAATTACATACTTTCTCTCTAAGCTTGAGTCTCACCAGTAAGACAAGATAAGGTTTACTTCTTGGGGGTTGAAAGGTTTTAGTGAGATAATGTTAGAAACTCGCGAGTTCATTGTAGGTGCTTAATAAAATGTCAGGTTTTCTTTTATTACTCCCTTCTCCCCCAAACAAGACAAAAGCCCTGGTGTCTGAAAGTTACCAGGTGCAGGAAGTTTGGGGTTCCAGTCAGCTCCCTCTGTGACTCTTGGTGACATTTTGAGCCCCTTATTCCTGCTCCCCTTGGCCCTCTACCCAACTCTCTACTCCGCTGCTCCTGGGTTTCAAGTTTCATTTTTTTGTATACCTTCTGTGGTCCATACTTCTAGCTCTTCTCTTTCCTAGACTGAGAAATCCCTTCTCCTCCAAGGACTTTATTACGCAGAGATCAGAATGTGAAACAAGGGAGAGATGGAGCTGAAGGACTAGGGTTGGGTAGGGGTGTTGGATAAAAAGCTCATTTCCCTTTCCAGGAGCGTGGAATGACTAACCTGGCACCATTCTAAGGGGAAAGAAGGGTTTAACGAAGTCACAGGATTGAAGGACCCTGATGGGCAGGGGCATGGTGGGTAGTGGTTTTGGAGGGAAAGGAGGAAGCAAATGGGTAGCGGGGCAGGTGAGCTCCACCTTGGGATCCAGAGCAGGCGTCTGGGGAGCTTAGGAGGGGAGGGCGTGGGGATGGTTTTGTAAGAGGGCACGGGGTGGCTCACCTGGGAAGAAGGGAAATGGGAAGATGTGGGCGGTCCCGTAACCCATGCTCCTGAAAGCTCCTAAAGGTCCCTGGAGTAGGGTACGCCCTCCTACGAGGCCCAGGGTCAGCGGGGAGGGAGGAGGCTGGACTTGTGGGCGGGGCCTGCGGAGCCGCCCCGCCCCTGCCTCCGCCTTCCCGCCGCGGTCCCGGGCTCTCCTCGCGCCTGGCTCCCCTCCCTTCTGCGCTCGTGCGGGAGGGCGGAGCTGGGCCCGCTCCATTGTGGAGAGTAGGGGAGAGGCGCGCGGGAGCCGCACGGAGGCCCCGCCACCAGCGCCCTACCCTCTTGGCCGCCGCGGCTGCACCTGGCGAGCCCCGCAGCCGGGATGCGGCCGGCGCTCGGGGCTGGCGGGCAGCGCAGCGGCTCCGGGGACATGTACACTCGCCCAGACCGCCCGCGACCATGAGCCTGACCGCCCGCGTCTCCTGCTCCATGCTTAGCTGCTTCGTAAGTGCCCACCCTGCCTTTGGGGGCCTAGGAGGCACCCGCAGCCCCGCCCTGGGTCAGCCTTCGATTTCAGCCCATCCCCCTTCCCGAGGCCCCCGGCCCGGCTCCGAACGTTTGGGGCGGGGAAGGTGGGTTAACCCGTTTATTTCTTGGACTTGCTTCTATCTTTGGGTGCCGGAGATGGTCGAAGGCCAGGAATGGAAATTCTGTGGTCCATCCTGGCCCCGCAGCCGCTGCCCTTGACTGCAGATCTCTAGGCCCCGCCCTGCAGGGGTACATCTCTTTACCTCCGCCTCTCCATCTTGGTCCCACCCGCTGAATCCTTGCTTGGAGATGTGGGATGTGGCCAGTAGGCTGAATGGGATGTTAGGGAGCTGGTCGGGGAGCACAGGATGTCTGTGAGCTGGCTCGGGGCTCCAGTCCCTTCCCTCTTCCACCACTCCATCCCTCACCTGACATGCCAGCCTTTTCTCCTTGACTGTCCCCCAGACAGCCTCTCTTTTCCATCTTCCCTGTCTCTGCAGGGTTCCGTACCTCTGCATCATTCCCGGTCCTCCCCTCCTCCCGCTCTGGCTGATGCTCCTTCCCAGCTTCCCCCATCTGTCCTCTCAGCTGTCCCCCCCACCTTCCCCGTGGGTGTCTGCCAGGCCTCCTCTCTCTCTCTCCTGGCTGTCCTTGGGTCTCCTGGCTCCTCCCAGGCGCGTGGATCCCCTCAGGTCCCCTCCCTGGTGGTTGGGAGGGGAGTTCCTTCTGCTTGCTGTGGGTATTCCTCAGGAATTCCCCTCTGATTAGCAGGCAGGGCAGGTTACTTGGCAGGTAATGGGGGCTTGTCAGCAGTGTGGGTCTAACAAGAAGATAAGCCCAGCTCCCAAACACGTCTTCCTTTTGAAAGCATCGGTGAAGGCCCTCTAGAGGCGTGGGACTGAATCCCCCCACCCACTCCTCTTTGTCTCCTTCACCCACCAGATTGAAGCTTCAGTGGCTGTAGGCGCCTGATTTCCCTCCTCTCTAAAACTAGCTGCCACACCTGGCTCCTTTTCCTCAGGACAGCACTTTCCCATCCCCACTCCTGCCTTACCCTTACACGAGTCTAAGGAAAATAGTCTTTCTTTTCCTTAGTTTTCTCTCCTCCATTTTTGAAATGTTGGTTCTGTAGGACAGTCTCTCTTTGAAGAGTACAGATTCCCAATTCCTCCTGGGGCCTCACTCTTTCCTTAGGCTTAATAGGCTGATACTCTCTCCATTTCACCCTTCCCTGTGTCCAGCCAAGTCAGATCTCTTTTCCCTTCTCTGGTGACCAGAACCTTTAGAGGTGTGTTTGTGGTTATCTGTGGATTTCTTGGTGGGGAGGGAAGCAGAATGAGCCTGATGGGCTAAGTGGAGCTTGGTGACTTAGGACTGTGGCCTTCCTACAGGGTGAGGAGGGGCCCCCCAGCCTGGAGTACATCCAAGCCAAGGATCTGTTCCCCCCCAAGGAACTAGTGAAGGAGGAGGAGAATCTTCAGGTAAGGAGGATTTGGGGGCCAGGGTAGATGCGGCTCCCTGCCTAGTTAAAAAACACCCTCCCTTCTCCCAAAAATCCTCAAGGGGATCTGGTACCAGAGCTCTGGCTTCCTGTTCCCTGGTCTCTGGAGGAGGAGGGTTTGTCTGTGTATCCTGGAGCCTTTGACCCCGGGGAAGGAAAGGGAGCTTTCCTGTACAGCTGTTGCCTGGTGCTTTTACTGTGGAGAGAACTCTCCTCTCCGGCCTTGGTCCGCCTTTTCCAGAGGGGATCCCACAGATCAGGGGCTGTAGAGGAAGATAAGGTGGTCACTCACTTTGGACTGAAGGTTTCTCTGCCCCTTGACAGGTCCCCTTCACAGTGCTGCAGGGTGAGGGAGTAGAGTTCCTGGGCCGGGCAGCCGATGCCCTCATTGCCATCTCTAACTACCGGCTGCATATCAAATTCAAGGACTCTGTCATCAACGTGAGTTTCTGTATTGTTCTTCTACCCCTAAGCTAGAATCCCTGTGAGGTTCTAGCCTGGTGGAACAAGGTGGGATTGTTGCAAAGCTCTCCTTGATCATGTCGTTAAAAAAGCTGGAGGCCGGGCGCAGTGGTTCACGCCTGTAATCCCAGCACTTTGGGAGGCCAAGGTGGGCAGTTCACTTGAGGTCAGGAGTTTGAGACCAGCCTGGCCAACATGGTGAAACTCTATTTCTACTAACAATACAAAAATTAGCCGGACTTGGTGGTACGCACCTGTAATCCCACCTACCCGGGAGGCTGAGGTGCGGGAATCTCTTGAACCGGGAGGTGAAGGTTGCAGTGAACCGAAATTGTGCCACTGCTATCCAGCTTGAGTGACAGAGTGAGACTACATCTCAAAAAAAAAAAAAACATGGAGATCCCTTCTCTTTCTCTCTGACCTCATGTTTTCCTGCCTCATTTTCCTAGCTATAGCTCTGTTTCTGGCTCATTCTCCTTTCTCCTCTTCTCTCTTTCCATTATTCTATTACTGGCCCTTCTAAGGAGCACAGTGGCATTGTTGGAAGAACACAGGCTTTGGAGTCAGACAAACCTGGGCTCTTTTCCTGTGTTGCCACTGACCAGCTGGGTGACCTTGGTCAAGTCACCTAACTGAGGCTTGATTTTTCTCCTCAATAATATGGGCTGAAAACACCTGCCGTGCAGGGTTATTGGGATCATTAATTGGGATCACATATGCAGAGGACTCCGTACAGTTACCAGGTGCTTAACAGACCCTCAGTAAGTGTTGGTTTCCTTCCTGCTATTGATACATCAGTGCCTAGGCTAGGGTGAGGGTAAGGAGTGATACCCAGTGGGGAGTCTGAGCTTCAGTTTGCCCTTCCTCTAAAGGTCCCCCTCCGGATGATTGACAGTGTGGAGAGCCGTGATATGTTCCAGTTGCACATTTCCTGCAAGGACTCCAAAGTGGTGAGGTGAGAACAACGGGGCCTCACTCAGGTCCCCTGGCCCTCGTTTTGTCCAGATCTCTGTGCTGCAGGGTTTCTCTGGTGCGAGAGAGGAAAGATCCTGCCTCACTTTCCCCAGTTGGAAGAAAAGGTGAAGACCATGTTCTGGGTTGGGAGGTCAGTGTACTGACCCATAGTATCTTGACCTGAAAAAATGGGGGTAATGCTTGGTTCATGGAGTCATCGTAAGGATTAAGTGAGATAATGTGTATGTGTATGAAAGCACCGAGGACAGTATCTGGCACAGAGCATTCCCATTATTGTTGGTTTATTTATTTATTCGTTTGATATACATGTATTGAGTACCCTACTCAATGCCAGACTGTTTTAAGCCCTGGGGATATAGCAGGGAACAAATAGACAAAATTTTCCCTTCTCAGAGAGCTTACATCCCAATGAAGAGATACCAACCGTAAGTAATAAGTAAAATTTGTGAAATGATAGTAAATGTAAAGGAAAAAAAATAAAGCAGTGAAAGGGAATATGGAGTGCTATGAGGGTGAAGATTGTAAAACAATTAGGCTGGGCACGGTGGTTCACGCCTGTAATCCCAGCACTTCGGGTGACCAAGGTGGAAAGATCGCTTCAGCTTAGGAGTTCAAGATCAGCCTGGGCAACATAGTGAGACCCTGTCTCTACTAAAAATAGAAAAAATTAGCCAGGTGTGGTGATGCGTGGGAAGATTGCTTCAGCTTAGGAGTTCAAGATCAGCTTGGGCAACATGGCGAGACCCCATCTCTACTGAAAATATAAAAAATTAGCCAGGTGTGGTGATGTGTGCCTGAAGTCCCAGCTACTCAAGAGGCTGAGATGGGAGGACCTCTTGAGCCTGAGAAGTTGAGGCTGCAGTGAACTGTGATGACAGTACTGCACTCTGGCCTGGGTGACAGAGTGAGACCCTGTCTCAAAAAAACAAAACGAAAGTGATCAGAGAAGCTGCACCAAAAAGGTGGCAGTTGAGTCAAGACTTGAAGAAAGTGGCCATGTGGGTATTTGGGGAAAGAATGTGCCGGAGAGAGAGAATGGCAAGTGCAAAGGCCCTGAGGTGGGTGTGTGCCTGCATATTGGAAGACTGGCAGGGAGGCTGGTGTGGTTGGAGTAGAGTGCCTGTGGGTGAGAGTAGTGGGTTACAAGATCTGAGAACAAAGCGGGGTGTCAGACATTTTGTCATGAAGACTGGCTTTTACTTTGAGGGAACTGAAAAACCACTGGAGGATTTTGAGCAAAGGCGTGATGTGATCTGATTAATGTTTCACAGAATCACGCTGGCTGCTCTATTGAGACTAGATGAAAGAATGGGGGCAAGAGCAAAAGCAAAAACTGGGAGGCTAGTTAGGAAGCTATTGCAGTTGCCCAGATGAGAGATCATGGTGGCCTGTCTGAGGTGGTAGCAGCCAAAGCAGTGAGAAGCAGTCAGATTCTGGGTGTATTTTGAAGGTGGAGATGACAAGATTTGCTGACAGATTTGAAATGAAAGAAAGAGGAATCTGGGATGACTCCAAGGTTTATTAAAAGGATACCCACTTTAGAGCCTACCATGTGCTCAGGTCTGTGGGGCATTCAGAGGAACATTCACATTGCTCTTTCCCTCAAGGAGGCTAAACTCTAGCTGCTGGAAGACCTAACATGTGGCAATGCTATGGGAAAATGTGGTGCTTAGTACTCCAAGCAGGCCAGGCACAGTGGCACATACCTGTAATCCCAGTACTTTGGGAGGCTGAGGCAGGAGGATCGCTTGAGCTCAGGAGTTCAAGAATCAGTCTGGGCAACATAGAGAGACCCTGTCCCTACGAAGAATTTAAAAAGTTATTGCACAATTATGGTCTCAACTACTCAGGGGACTGAGTTGGGAGGATTGCCTGAGCTCAGGAGGTCAAGGCTGCAGGGAGCTGTGATTGCGCCACTACACTCCAGCCTGGGTGACAGAGCAAGAGCAAGACCCTCTCTCAAAAAAAAAAAAAAAAAAAAGGTGTGTGTGTATATATATATATATATATTCCAAGCACATTAAGAATCAAGAGAGGAAGGAGTTTCTGGAATAGAGTAGGCTGGGAAGTCTTCAAGGAAGAGGTGAGACCGAAACTATCTTCAAAGCATCAGTAGGATGTGGCTAGGCAGAGAGGAGACATTATCAAGCAGAAGATAAACCAAGGAGATGGGAAGGATGTGAGCAGGACTTCCAGCTTGAAGCAGAAAGTTTGAGTTAGGGAGTCATGGGAGATAACACTGGTCCATTAGGGTAGGGACAAGGAGTGCAGACTTTCAGGGCCATGTGGTAGCATTTAGATTTGACACAAGAAACAGTAGGGCCCCATTCGAGAGGATAAGTATGCCTCAAACACAGGAGTTCCTGGGAAGAGAATTATCACGAGAGACAACTTCTGTTGGGTGTTGGTCAGTGTCCCTCATTCCCCCACCCCGGGTCCCCACTGCTTTACCTCTTGCTTTGCAGCCTGTCTTCACAGCCTTCCTGTGGCTGTGTTTTTGACCCTGATAGCTCCATGGCACAACTGCACTTTGCCTCACCCAGGCCTGTGACTTCTTGCCTGGCAGGTGTCACTTCTCCACTTTCAAGCAGTGCCAAGAGTGGCTCTCACGGCTAAGCCGAGCCACAGCAAGACCTGCCAAGCCTGAGGACCTCTTTGCCTTTGCCTATCATGCCTGGTGCCTGGGGCTGACTGAGGAGGACCAGCACACTCACCTATGTCAGCCAGGTGAGGCCAGTCTATTTTCTTTGGGAGGCTGCTTCTTACCCCTTGGTTCTCATCCCTCCTCCACTCCTGCACATCGGTGCTCTGGGAAGCTAACCATCATGGGGGCTCTGTTGCAGGTGAGCACATACGTTGTCGGCAGGAGGCGGAGCTTGCAAGGATGGGCTTTGACCTGCAGAACGTCTGGAGAGTCTCACACATCAACAGCAACTACAAGTGAGAGGGTTGGGGACCAAAACTCCTTCCACACCAAACGGCTTCCGTGTTTGCATAAAGCGTGGTGGGCACAGCTTCTGAGTCTGTGAGGGAGGAAGGCTTCTGGTTTCTCTTCCCACAAGGCCATCCCCAGGGATCCTGTTGTCACATGTTTTAGACCCAGTGCGGTGACCCCCACCTGGTCTCTTTTCAGATTGTGCCCCAGTTACCCCCAGAAGCTGCTGGTTCCTGTGTGGATCACTGACAAAGAGCTGGAGAATGTGGCTTCCTTCCGCTCCTGGAAGCGGATCCCCGTGGTTGTGTATAGGTGAGGCAGTGGGGCCGGGAAGTAGGGAGGCCATTTCTTACGCAACAAGGAAAGAGTCAGTATTGGAGGTTTTGGGTAACCTGGTTGACTGGGAATTGACACTATGGGGAAGTATAAAATAATTTTAAAACAAAAACTATCTTAGTTTTTTCTCCTAAGAATAAGGCTGTTAGGGAGTTTATTCATTTCCCCCCTTTTTTTAGAGAGAGAGAGAGAGAGAGAGAGAGAAAGAGAGTGTGTGTGTGTGTATGTGTGTGTGTGTAAACATTGGTACACGAATTGGCAAACTGGCCTGCAGACAAAATCTGGCTCATAGTCTATTATATAAAACGGCTTGTAAGCTGTGAATGGTTTTTACATTTTTAAAGGGCTATTTTTAAAAAAACAAAGAAGAAATACATGACAGAAACTGGTTGTGACCCACAAGGCCAAAAATTTGTTGTCTGACTTTTTACTGAAAATGTTTGCTGATCTCTGCACTAGAATATTGTAGCTAAAATAGAGTGAGACAGGAAGTAACCCTGAAGTTTGGAATTGTTCCTGTTCTTGGCTCAGCCAGGCCTTGTTCTCCTGCTGGGTGTCTGTACCTGGAGCAGTTGCTGTGCATATTTGATGAGTCAAGGTCACTTTGGGCGTACAGAGCCCATTTGAGAAAATATGTGTGATGGTGCTTTGTAAACTGTGAAGCCTGCTAGAGCTGCTGGGGCTTTTGGTTGCTGTTATGGCCTGGATGAGTGGGTAGCCCCTGCTGGCTCTAGAGACTTTGGTCTAACCCCCTGAGGTAGGCCTCTGGAGGCTTCGAATGCCAAGGGCATTACGGTTTCTTCTGTTTTGTCAGACACTTGCGCAATGGGGCTGCCATTGCCCGCTGCAGCCAGCCAGAGATCAGCTGGTGGGGCTGGCGCAATGCTGATGATGAGTATCTGGTCACGTCCATCGCTAAAGCCTGTGCCCTGGACCCGGGGACAAGGGCCACTGGGGGCTCCCTCAGCACCGGGAATAATGATACCAGCGAGGCGTGTGATGCAGACTTTGGTAAGGTGTGGATGATGCTAACCCCCCAGGGAGCAGGCCCCCTCCTTGACTTGATTGGCTCCCAGGGAGTCCTCAGTGAGAGTCTGGGAAGATGATCGCACACGGGGTGCTGGGGTCCCTGCCTTGTCAGAAGCTGTGGAGTGTGAGGGGTCTGTAGTTGCATGTTCTGCCTTCTGAGAGGGAGTGCCAGAGGGCCAGCAGGAGGCTGGGTGGCTGGCTGACTCAGGGGCTCCTTGCTGCTATGTGTTTAGATTCCTCTCTGACTGCATGCTCTGGAGTGGAGAGCACAGCAGCCCCCCAGAAGCTGCTGATCCTGGATGCGCGATCCTACACAGCAGCAGTGGCCAACCGGGCCAAGGGTGGAGGCTGTGAATGCGAAGGTATTGCTCTTATCCTGGTGTCTGTAACCAGCCTGTGCTGTGGGTGGCTTTGGTGAGGAGGGGGTTGGGGGCCGTTTGTATAGTGGAAAGAGCCCAAACAAACCTGACTTGGAATCATAACTTTGCTACCTACTAGCTATTGCTATGACTATGACTATGCTGAAGTTGCTTAATCTGTCCAAGCTTTATTTTTAGTTTTACAAGAAGGGGGTGTTACAAACTTTGCAAAATTGTTGGGATGGTTAGAAGTTGCCTATGTAGGCTGTGCCCAGTGGCTCACACCTGTAATCCTAGCACTTTGGGAGACAGAGGCAGGCAGATGACTTGAGCTCAGGAGTTCGAGACCAGCCTGGGCAACATGGTGAAACCCCGCCTCTATCAAAAATACAAACCATTAGCTGGGCATGGTGGTGCACTCCTGTGGTCCCATCCCAGCCACTCAGGTGACTGAGGCATGAGAATCGCTTGAAGAGGCGGAGGGTGCAGTGAGCTGATATCATGCCACTGTACTGTAGCCTGAGTGACCATGAGACCCTGTCTCAAAAAAGAAAAAGAAGTTGTATATATAAAAGTATTGCTGCAGAGCAGCTACTATTTATTGAGAATTTAGCATATATTGTCTTTCTAAGTACTACTATCATCTGTCATTACTGTTACTATTATTACTATATGGCACCTGAGTCTCCAGAGATACAAGTGTGATTCAGATTTCAAAACTGTATTTAGTTCCCATGCTGGAGTGCTCTGCCTGGCCAGGGAAGCTTTGCCCACCAGGGACCACTCTTGTCCTGGATGCCTGTTTCCAGGACGTGCTTTTTTTTTTTTTTTTTTGAGACGGAGTCTCGCTCTGTCACCCAGGCTGGAGTGTAGTGGCGCGATCTCAGCTCACTGCAACCTCCGTCTCCCAGGTTCAAGCAATTCTCCTGCCTCAGCCTCCCAAGTAGCTGGGATTACAGGTGTCCACCACTATGCCCAGCTCATTTTTGTATTTTTAGTAGAGACGGGGTTTCACTGTGTTAGTCAGGCTGTTCTCGAACTCCTGACCTCAGGTGATCCACCTGCTTTGGCCTCCCAAAGTGTTGGGATTACAGGCGTGAGCCACCGCGCCCAGCCTAGGATGTGCTTTTACGTCCCACTCTCCTGTCATGTCTACAGAGTACTATCCCAACTGTGAGGTCGTGTTCATGGGAATGGCCAACATCCATGCCATCCGGAACAGCTTTCAGTACCTCCGGGCTGTGTGTAGCCAGATGCCGGATCCTAGCAAGTAGGTGTTCCCTGCTCGGATTCCTTCCAGTCTCATTCCTTACCCAGTACCTCTTATTCTTGGAAGATTAGATGGGGAGATGAGAAGTTTGGAGAGCAGGAGACCTGAGGGCCTGGGTGGAGTTGGGTGCCATGGGCTAGTTCCAAGAACCCTTCCACTTCTCAGCCAACACTTTGGCGTGGTCACAGGACATTGAATTCCTTTAGTTTGGATCAGTTGTTCTACTCAAAGAACACAGAGAACTGGGGAGAGAAAATGGCTGAGTGCGCATGTGATGCTTCCCAGTTCCTCTTTTGAGCCTCATAAGCTCTTATCTGCTGCAGGTCCTGTCTTCCCTACCTTCCTGCTAGATACCTCTTGTCCAAAAGGCCCTGGGTTGTACCTCTTTGTTTCAGTTCTCACTGGGGACTTTGTTGGGTAGGGCTGGCTGTGGATGGAGGAGAGACTGTTGTGGCCTCAGCTCCCTTTGTGACCGACTTGATTTCTGCTCTTGTGTAGCTGGTTGTCGGCATTGGAGAGTACCAAATGGCTGCAGCACTTGTCGGTAATGCTAAAAGCAGCTGTGCTGGTGGCAAATACAGTAGACCGGGAAGGCCGGCCTGTGCTGGTACACTGCTCTGATGGCTGGGACCGCACACCGCAGATCGTAGCCCTGGCCAAAATATTACTGGACCCATATTACAGGACGTTGGAGGTATTGAGAGGAATTGGGTGGGAAGACCAGAGGGAATGTGGGAGGAGGGAAGGTGTTGAGCCCTCTGGATCTGTCCTAGGAATCTTTCAGTAGAGGACATTGGTGGCTCTTTTTTTTTTCCTTTTTTTTCAACTCCCAAAGCTTTGGAAAATGGGTGGCTTTTAGTCTTCTTCTAGGTCCAGTCCTAGTTTTCTTTGAAGCTGCCAGCTCCCTGCTTTGGGCAGTTCCCGGGAGAGCAGCACATCAGCGTTTCCAGAGAGGCCCTATGTTTGAATAGTTTCTTTTTTTGCAGGGCTTCCAAGTGTTAGTGGAGTCTGACTGGCTGGATTTTGGGCACAAGTTTGGAGATCGCTGTGGCCACCAAGAGAATGTGGAGGACCAAAACGAACAATGCCCTGTGTTCCTCCAGTGGCTTGATTCTGTTCATCAGTTGCTTAAGCAGTTCCCCTGCCTGTTTGAATTTAATGAAGCATTCCTGGTAAGTCCTAAACCCTGTGACAAGAGGGATGGGGGGAATGACAGCCCGAGGCCCCCAGGTGCAAGCTCTCTCTGCCTTCTAGGTAAAACTGGTGCAACACACATACTCCTGCCTCTATGGCACCTTCCTGGCCAACAACCCCTGTGAGCGAGAGAAGCGCAACATCTACAAGCGGACCTGCTCTGTGTGGGCGCTCCTTCGAGCTGGCAATAAAAACTTTCATAACTTCCTCTACACACCCAGCTCAGACATGGTGAGTCTCAGCCCTTTTCCTATAGGTGCTATTTAGAAACCTATAGGGAGAAGGAGCTGAATCAGTAGGGAAAATGTAGAGTGAAGGGCTTAGGGAAAGAAAAGGGACCAGAGACTCTTGACAAAGCACTAGTATTGGGCTGCTTCCCTAGGTCCTGCATCCTGTTTGTCATGTCCGGGCCCTGCACCTCTGGACGGCTGTTTATCTGCCAGCATCATCTCCATGCACACTTGGGGAGGAAAACATGGATCTTTACCTTTCCCCAGTGGCCCAGAGCCAGGAGTTCTCTGGCCGCTCTCTGGACAGGTAAGAAAAGCCCTTCTTCCTTTCTCCTCTCTCCACTAGGAAAGCAATAACTGTTTCCCATCTCATCTAAATGTTCTCTATCTTTCTTTCTTTTTTTTTGAGACGGAATCTAGCTTTGTCGCCCAGGCTGGAGTGCAGTGGCGCAATCTCAACTCACTGCAACCTCCATTTCCCGGGTTCAAATGATTCTCCTGCCTCAGCCTTCCGAGTAGCTGGGATTACAGGCGCCGACCACCACACCCAGCGAATTTTTGTATTTTCAATAGAGGCGGGGTTTCACCATGTTGGCCAGGCTGGTCTCGAACTCCTGACCTCAGATGATCCACCTGCCCCGGCCTCCCAAAGTGCTGGGATTACAGGTGTGAGCCACCGTGCCCGGCCTCTTTCTGAGGTATTTAAAAGCAACTTCTTGAGTCATTTGCAGGAAAAGCTTGGCCAAGACTTGTAGCCAGCCTGGAGTGCACTCTGTGTATTTTCAAGGTCCTCTGAAGATAAGGTTGGATACTTTTTTTCCTGAAGGAGCTGCTATCACCCTGTATGATATACCCAAGCAGGGGAGAGAACAAAACAGAAAGGACTGTTTTAGGAAGGTTTGTGAGAATGGTCTTGATTTTTGTTCACTGGTACAGGGCACGGAGAGCTTGCTATATTAGTAGCAACCTTTGTTGTGTCCAGCGTTAGCTTCTAGAAACATCTGACTCTCAGGGAAATGGGTTCCCAGCAGGGGGATGGCCTTATATTACTCCGTCAGAAAAAGGCCAGAATTTAAAAGGGAGACATAAAATTAGTTATCTTCTGGCTGAATGTTTTGGGGGGAGGTGAGATGGTGTTGGTTAAATTATGAGAGTAGTACCTGTTTCTTGTTTTTAAAAAAATAGTCAGTATAAAAGTAGAAAATCCCTTAGGATCCTTGTCCCCACAGGTGTCCACTATTAACATTTGTTATGTGTCTTTCCAGACGTTTATCTCTACATAGGTAAATCCACACTCATGCTCTCATATGGAAACATTTTTATAAATAAAATCAGAATATTTTTACATACCCTTTTTACTTTTTTGCATATTCTGCAACTTGTTTTTCCCACTTTGTATTAGATTGTCTTCTCATAACAGCACATCTAAATTTCTTTTCTTGTTTTTATTGGCTTCAGAGTAGTCCACAATTTATATAACCAGATTCCTATTCATCATTTAGGTAATTTCCATTTTTTTTTTAATCATTACAGGGAGTGCTTTTGTGAACATCCTTGTATGTGTAACTTTTTAAAAAATTGTAAAATACAGGCTAGGCATGGTGACTCACGCCTGTAATCCCAGCATTTTGGGAGGTCGAGGCGGGCAGATCACTTGAGGTCAGGAGTTCAAGGCCAGCCTGGCCAACATGATGAAACCCTGTCTCTACTAAAAATACAAAAATTAGCCGGGCATGGTGGCAGGCACCTGTAATCCCAGCTACTTGGGAGGCTGAGGCATGAAAGTCACTTGAATCTGAGGGGCGGAGATTGCGGTGAGCCAAGATCGCGCCACTGCACTCCAACCTGGACAACAGAGCGAGACTGCGTCTCAAAAAAAAAAAAAAAATTGTGAAATACACATGCTATTTACCATCCACACCATTTTTAAGTACATAGTTTAGTAGGGTTACTTTGTAGCTTTGTTTTGTTTTGTTTTGTTTTTTCAAAGACAGAGTTGCGCTCTGTTGCCCAGGCTGGACTTCAGTAGCACAATCTCAGCTCATTGCAACCTCTACCTCCTAGGTTCAAGTGATTCCCCTGCCCCGGCCTCCCGAGTAGCTGGGATTACAGGCATGCGCCACCATGCCCGGCTAATTTTTGTATTTGTAGTAGAGACGGGGTTTTACTATGTTGGTCATACTGGTCTCAAACTCCTGACCTCAAGTTACCCACCCACCTCGGCCTCCCAAAGTGTTGAGATTACATGTGTGAGCTCCTGCGCCTGGCCAGTAGGGTTACTTTGTATGCATATTTTTGCATTTGTGCTAGTATTTTTGCCAGATAAATGAAAATACTATGCTCAAAGGATATATATCTCTCTTTCAAATTTTGATATTTGCTTATTGGCTGAGAGCTTTTTTTTTTTTTTTAAGAGACAGGGTCTTGTTCTGTCACTCACGTTGGAGTACAGTGGCACAATTATAGCTTACTGTAACCTCAAACTCCTGAGCTCAAGTAATCCTTATGTTTCAGCCTCCCAGGTAGCTAATTAGCTCATTAGGCACGTGCCAATTTTTATTTTTTGTAGAGACAGGGTCTGTTGCCCACGTTAGTCTTAAACTCCTGGCCTTGAGTGATCTTCCTGCCTTGGCCTCCCAAAACACTGGAATTACAGGTGTGAGCTACCATGCCCATCCTGGCTAAAAGTTTTTAAAATATGACATATGTTATTGATTGAGTATTATAAAGGAAAACAAAAAACCCAGCATCTCAAATTACTGGTTTGAGGGTCTTTTGAACTAAGTCATTGTGAGGGGACCATGATAGGTTTCAGGAATTCAGTGATTTTTTTTCCTTCCCCAAACTATGCAGAATTTGGCTATAGGTTCATAGGTTTACTTTTCCTGGGAGAGGGGTCATAACTTTTAATCAAATTTTGAATAAGCTCTGTGACTCATTTAATAATCATTTCATTAACTTAGTATCTGACTTATCAATTCAACAAATGTTTCTTTAATACCTACAAGTTGCCTATTACTGTACTAGGTTTTGTGGGCTACACCAAATAAATAGAAGATATTGGTTCTACTTTCAAGATAATTTTAAGCTCTAAGGTAAGACACAGAGCAACTAGAGAACAATTCCTTTTTTTTTTTTTTTTGTGATGGAGTCTCACTCTGTCACCAGGCTGCAGTGCAGTTACGCAATCTTGGCTCACTGCAACCTCCACCTCCTGGGTTCAAGTGATTCTCCTGCCTTAGCCTCCAGGGTAGCTGGGACTACAGGCATCCGCCACCACACCCTCATTTTTCGTATTTTTAGTAGAGACAGGCTTTCACCATGTTGGCCAGGATGGTCTCAATCTCTTGACCTCGTGATCTACCCGCCTCGGCCTCTCGAAGTGCTGGGATTACAGGCGTGAGCCACTGCACCCGGCCAACTAGAGAACAATTCTAAGCCAGCATCTAAGCAGATAAGAATGTGTGTAGTTTAGGCTGGGCGCAGTGGCTTATGCCTGTAATCCCAGTACTTTGGGAGGCCAAGGTGCACAGGTTGCTTGAGCCCAGGAGTTTGAGACCAGCCTGGACAACGTGGCAAAACTCCACCTCTACAAAAAATACAAAAATTAGCCAGGCATGGTGGCATGCGCCGTGATCCCAGCTACTTGGCGGGCTGAGGCAGGAGGATGGTTTGCGCCCAGGAGGTCGAGGCTGCAGTGAGCTGTGATTGTGCTATGGCACTCCAGCCTGGGTGATAGAGCGAGACCTTATCTCAAAAAAAAAAAAAAAGTGTGTAGTTCAAAGCTTTAGAGAAATGATGTGTGTTTTAAAAGGGTCATTTGGTGGCTGTTTTACTCAGGAAATTTTCATGAAGGACCAGACAAGAACTGTGGGTCTGTTTGTGTTCTCTGTATCTGGCTTAGAATCTGGCACATAAGTAAATTTAAATAAATTTACTCAAGTAAAAATTTACTTAAAACTGGACAAACGGCTGGGTGTGGTGGCTCATGCTTGTAATCCCAGCACTTTGGGAGGCCAAGGCGGGCAGATCACAAGGTCAGGAGATCAAGACCATCCTGGCTAACATGGTGAAACCACATCTCTATTAAAAATACAAAAAAAAAAAAAAAATTAGCCGGGCGTGGTGGCGGGCACCTGTAGTCCTAACTACTCAGGAGGCTGAGGCAGGAGAATGGCGTGAACCTGGGAAGGCGGAGGTTACAGTGAGCCGAGATGGTGCCACTGCACTCCAGCCCAGGTGACAGAGCGAGACTCTGTCTCAAAAAAAAAAAAAAAAACTGGACAAATGAATGAAATAAAGGTAGTTGTGAGCTTAGTAACAAGGTTAGTGGAGAGGGGTCCAAAGGAAGTAGATACATGAGAGGTAGGGTTTTTTTTTGAAATGGAGCCTTGCTCCATTGCCCAGGCTGGAGTGCGGTCACATGATCTTCTCAGCTCACTGCAACCTCCGCCCACCGTGTTCAACTGATTCTCCTGCCTCAGCCTCCTGAGTAGCTGGGATTACTAATTTTGTATTAGTAATAGTAGCTGGGCTAATTTTTGTATTTTTAATACGGGATTTCACCATGTTGGTCAAGGTGGTCTCGAACTCCTGACCTCAAGTGATCTGCTCACCTTGGCCTCCCAAAGTGCTGGGATTATAGAAGTGAGCCACTACGCCTGGGCGAGAGGTAGTTTTTTCTAAAAAAAAGAACTTCTGTGGCTGGCAGGGGTTGAGAAGGGGCTATTTTAAGGAATAGAAAGAAATATAAGACAGGTCATTGAGGGCATTGAAGGCTTTAAACATTACAGTAAAGAGTTTATTTTGATTCAGTTGTCAATAGGAAGTCACTATAGGAAGTCACTGTGATCTTCTGACAGTGGGATCCTTGGAGAACTAATCGGTGAGTACAGGGTAGCTGGAGGCACAGAGACCAGCCAGCACTGCTGTAGTAGTTTAGGTATGAGGGGAAGAGTCCCTGGCAAAGAGGAAGGATTAAATTTAGAAGCACTATAGAGAACCATTGGCAGGCTACAGAATTGATTGAAAGTTGAAGAGTAGAAGTGAAAAGTACTTTGGGTCCCAAGTATCTGAGCTTAGAAAGTAGGAGAATATTAGTACCGCTAATAGACATTGAAAAGTCGAGAAGACAAGCCAGTTTGGGGAGAAAGCGGAGATACAGGGAAATTGGGATTGAAATATTAGTTGACAGCAAAGAAGGAGGTGTGTTGTAGGCAGCTCAAGATGGAGAGTGGATTTGGAGAAATAACTGGTATAAAGATTTTAAAGGGAATGGTCTCTGTAACAACTGACCTGACTTACCTTTGATTCTACCTTTCCCTAGATCAAAAATGTCCTACTGTCTTTTTTCTTATCCTTCCATTAAAGTCATAAACACATTCTTCTATACCCATCTCAAATCCTACCCTCTCTGTGTAGCCTTCCTTGACCACCTAGCTGGATGAGCTCTCTCTCCTTGTTCTAAACTCAGGTATTATTATCTCTGTCAACATTGCTGATTAACCTTTGGTACACATAGAATGAGTTGTGGAGGATGGCAGTTATTTGAATTGGGATGAAGAACACATCGGAGTTAATTATAGGCTTCTATTTGTTGTTGTTGTTTGAGACAGTCTTGCTCTGTCACCCAGGCTGGAATGTAGTGGTGCGATCTCGGCTCACTGCAACCTCTGCCTCTTGCCTCCCAGGCTCAAGCGATTCTCATGTCTCAGCCTCCCAAGTAGGAGCTGGGTTTACAGGTGTGCACCACGACGCCCAGCTAGTTTTTGTATTTTTAGTAGAGATGGGATTTCACCATGTTGGCCAGGCTGGTCTTGAACTCCTGGCCTCAAGAGATCTGCCTGCCTTGACCTCCCAAAGTGTTGAGATTACGGGAGTGAGCCACTGTGCCCGGCATATTCTTTACTTCTTTTGTATGCTTGAAAGTTTCCATAATAAAATGAAAAGAAAGAAGTCAGCTGTGGCACTTAAAAGAATACAGATCACTGGGCCTCACTCTTGGCCGTTCTTATGCATTAGGTCTTGGGTGGACCCTGGTTGTCTGGATGTCTAAGAAGATCCACCAAGATGCCTGGTGTATATCACACATTCAACTGGCACCTAGCAGTGGAAAGTTGATGTGGTATTTTGAGCTCATTCATTCATTTCTCAAGTCATTTGCCCCTGGTAGTGTGCTAGGTGCTGGGGATTCAAATAAGACAGAGTCCTGCCATCAGCACACTTCAGCAGAGGGAGTTAAACAAGTAAACAATGATGTGCAATAATGTGTTATAGGAAGTACTGAGCAATGTGCTTTGATGTGGATTCTTTTGTTTAATCTTCATAATAGCTTTAAGAGCTAGGTACTTTAACCTTTATTCCATAGATGAGGGATCTGAGGCTTAGAGAAGTTAAAGTCACACAGCAAAGATGTTGTTAAATTGGGATTTGAGCCCTGCCTATGGGACTCCAGGAACTCTAATTATAACGACTGTTTTTGCCTTCCTGGAATTTCATACCATTAAAAAAAAATCAAAATTGGTCATAAAAGTTATATCAAATATGTATAAAACATTTATTTTAAATTTCAAAAATCAATTACTTAAAATAAGCTGCGTTGTAACTCTGCCTTTGGGGGATTTTTCCGCATGGGCTGAACTGACTGAGCCATCTAAAAATAGGAGGCCAGTGAAGTCTCTACTGTTTCCCTGGTGAATTTCCCTCAAGTTTTCATTGCTCTAAGGACTTTGAACTGCATTAATAATCAGGATGGCCGTTCTTGAAAATGTCCCTTAACCCATCTGGTATATATGAATGCCTCTAGAACTCTGAGTGCTATATACCAGGGGAAGTTTCCATGGGGCCTTGGGAATCAGAGGAGCACACCGCTGCTAAGTGGTTATAAAGAGCAGTGCTGAGGGAGTTGTGTTGTCTTAATAAAGTTTGTGGTTATTATGTTTGTGGTTGGTTGCCTATATTTTGAATTCTCGTAGCATCTCTACAAGGTATGATTTATTATCATCATTGTATAAAGGGAGAGACCAAGTATCTGGGAGGTTAATTTACTTATTTGTAGTCATGTAGCTAATTAGTGTCAGAGCCAATATGTTCTAGCTCCAAAACCCATCTTCTTTCTGTTTTATTGTGATGGAGGCAGTGAGATATTGGGTTTGAGTCTCGGGTATAGTCCTGGCTGGAACAGTAGATTCAGAAGGCATTGGCATAGAAGGCAGCTGAAACCATTGTAGTGGTTGAGATTGCCCAGGGAGACTGGTAGGTTGAGTGCTGACAAAAGCTGAGGATAGATTTTTGGGTTCCAGAGGACAGGGTCCATGTCTTACACTTTTTTTACAGAGTAAACTTTCAGTGAACATTGGTTATTTGTGATCTTAAGGGTCATTATTGTTAAACTTAAGTGTTCTTAAGTGTCATTTTTTCTAAACTCTGGATTTGATATTGCTCCACTGATTCAGCTCCATATATTGTATTGCAAGTGCCCATCTCCTGACCTGGAGGTGTTATATTTGTCATTCCAGATTACCTAAAACCAGATCCATGGATGATCTTCTTTCTGCCTGTGACACAAGCAGCCCCCTGACTCGTACATCCAGTGACCCTAACCTGAATAACCACTGTCAGGAGGTCAGGGTAGGCCTGGAGCCCTGGCACAGCAATCCTGAGGGATCAGAGACAACCTTTGTGGACTCTGGGGTAGGAGGTCCTCAGCAGACTGTGGGAGAAGTGGGTCTTCCTCCTCCTCTGCCCAGCAGCCAGAAAGACTACTTGAGCAATAAACCTTTCAAGAGTCACAAAAACTGTTCTCCAAGTTACAAATTGCTTAATACCACAGTGCCTCGGGAAATGAAGAGCAACACCTCTGATCCTGAGATGAAAGTCCTGGAAGAGACTAAGGGACCAGCTCCCAACCCTTCTGCCCAGAATGAGGTGGGTAGGACTTTAGATGGCACAGGGGAGCCACCTGAACATTGTCCTGAAACAGAAGCTGTCAGTGCACTCTCCAAGGTCATTTCTAACAAGTGTGATGGAGTTTCTAATTTTCCTGAGTCTTCCCAGGACTCTCCTACAGGTGCGCCCCAACAGGCCCAGCCAGACTCCATGCTAGGTGTGCCCTACAAATGTGTTCTCGATCACAGCCTCAGCACCCTTTGCAACCCACCAAGTGCTGCCTGCCAAACTCCTCTAGGCCCAAGGGCTGACTTCCTCAACCAAGATCCCTCAGGGTCTGTGGCAAGTATCTTCCACCAGGAGCAACCGAGTTCTGTGCCAGATCTGACTCATGGGGAGGAAGACATTGGTAAAAGAGGAAATAATAGGAATGGGCAGTTATTGGAAAATCCTCGCTTTGGGAAAATGCCATTGGAATTGGTCCGGAAGCCAATTTCTCAGAGCCAGATTAGTGAGTTCTCTTTTCTAGGGTCCAACTGGGACAGCTTCCAAGGGATGGTGACTTCATTCCCAAGTGGGGAGGCCACCCCTCGGCGGCTGCTTTCCTATGGCTGTTGTAGCAAGAGGCCAAACAGTAAGCAGATGCGGGCCACGGGGCCCTGCTTTGGGGGCCAGTGGGCTCAGAGAGAAGGTATGAAGTCACCTGTCTGTTCTAGTCATTCCAATGGACATTGTACTGGTCCAGGAGGAAAGAACCGGATGTGGTTGTCCAGTCACCCAAAGCAAGTCTCTAGCACAAAGCCTGTTGCACTGACCTGTCCTTCTCCAGTGCCTCCTCTCTATTTGGATGATGATGGACTCCCCTTTCCCACGGATGTGATCCAGCATAGGTTACGGCAAATCGAAGCAGGGTACAAGCAAGAGGTAGAGCAGCTACGTCGACAGGTGCGTGAGCTTCAGATGAGGCTGGATATCCGTCACTGCTGTGCCCCTCCAGCAGAGCCTCCCATGGACTATGAGGATGATTTTGTAAGTAGTCACCAACTGCCATACACCCATTATTTAGTCTGTTCATCCAGCCTTCCCTCCATTCAGCATTTATTTGTTGGGTACTTGCTGTGTGCCACTGAGTTAGGTGCCTGGACTATAGGATGAAAAACAAGTAAGCAATTAGAATGATGTTTTTAAGTGCTATGATTGAGGAGGCATCGGGTGTTAGAGGGTTGGAATGGAGTGAAACGTCAAGGAAGGCTTTCTTGAGAAGGTAACGCTTGAGCTGAGTGCTGAAGAATGTGTGATATTTAGCTAGGTAGACAGTGAAAAGGAAACACCATTTGCAGAAGCATCGTGGCAATAGGTACTCCAATGATATGGCTTAAAAGGATGGGACATGCGAGTGTATATGTGTACATGCATGCATACACACTTACACTGGGGCTGTAAGAGACAGATAGGGTGGTGGGAGCTGACATTGGAGAAGTAGGTGGAGATTAGAAGGGTCAGCTTGAGTGCCCTTCTTGTTTGGATTTTACCCTTAAGGCAATAAAATTTTAGGCCAGTGCATAATATGATCAGAGTTGTACTTTAAGAAAATGACTCTTGTACTCTTGCAACAGTGTACAATTTTTTTTTTTTTTTTTTTGAGATGGAGTCTCGCTCTGTCACCCAGGCTGGAGTGCAGTGGCGCGATCTCAGCTCACTGCAACCTCCGCCTTCCCGGGTTCACGCCATTCTTCTGCCTCAGCCTCCTGAGTAGCTGGGACTGCAGGTGCCTGCCACCACGGCCGGCTAATTTTTTTTTTTTTTTTTTTTTTTTGTATTTTTAGTAGAGACAGGGTTTCACCGTGTTAGCCAGGATGGTCTCAATCTCCTTACCTCGTGATCCGCCCACCTCAGCCTCCCAAAGTGCTGGGATTACAGGTGTGAGCCACTGTGCGTGGCCCAACAGTGTACAATTTTAATGAGTCAGTTGAGACCCAGATTGGGAGGCTGGTAAGGTCATTTTGGAATAATCCAGGTGAGAGATGAAGACTATGTAGGCTGTGCAGTGTTGGGCAGCCTCAGGTTCTGGCACCATAGTCCTTGGGGAGCTTCTAGGAGCCAGCTTCCTCCCCATGGTATCTTGCCATTTTCAGACACTTTCCTTTCTTCTGTTAAGGTGCTCCCCACTTGCCTGCTTCTCACTTCTCTGGTGCTTTAAACAGTAATCAACAAACCTTTTTTTTTTTGTAAAGGGCCAAATAATAACTATTTTAGGTTTTGTGGGCCATACAGTCTATGTTGCAACTACTCAGCTCTGCTGTTGTGCAAAAGCAGCCATAGGCCAGGCACAGTGGGTCATGCCTGTAGTCTTAGGACTTTGTGAGGCTGAGGTGGGTGGATCGCTTGAGCCAAAGAGTTTGAGACCAGCCTAGGCAACATGGTAAAACCCCATCTCTACAGGAATTACAAAAAAATTAGCTGGACATGGTGGCGGATGCTTGTGGTCCCAACTACTCGGGAGGCTGAGGTCGGAGGATCTCTTGAACCCAGGATGTTGAGGCTACAGTGAGCCGTGATCATGCCGCTGCATTCCAGCCTGGGCAAAAGAGCGAGACCTTGTCTCAAAAACAAAACAAAAAGCAGCCATAGACAGTATGTAAATGAATGAATGCAGCTGTGTTCCAACAAAACCTGATTTACAAAAACAGGCAGTGGCCTAGTTTGGCCTGTGGGCCGTAGCTTGCCAACCCCTGGTTTAGAACGTAACAAGAGAGTCTTTCTATGCTGTAATGTAGCATATTGGTAAGAGTATAAGTCTGAAGCCACAATACTAGGTTCAAATCCCAGTTTTACCACATATCAGCTCTTAACTTTCTCTGTGGCTTCATTTTCTTATTTGTAAAATGGGGATATTAGTAGTATATGTTGTAAGACTGTCATGAGAAATAAGTTCATGTATGTAATGCACTTAGCACAGTGCCTGACACATGGTAAACACTAAGCGTTAATGATGATGAAGATAATGTTGTTGTCTTTGCCTTTTCATCAGACATGTTTGAAGGAGTCAGATGGCAGCGATACTGAGGATTTTGGCTCTGATCACAGTGAAGACTGCCTTTCAGAAGCAAGCTGGGAACCTGTTGATAAGAAAGAGACTGAGGTATGTTTAGGCACATATGTGGTGGGTACTTATGTGAGCCAGTGAGTTGTCATACTTCCCAGACATGAATGACATGCTGTAGACTGAGCTGTCTCCCAGTGGAGTGTCAACCTGGTAGGCAAGTGGTAGCCAGTTACGAAGATAAGCCTTGTCACTTTCTCCTGGGATGCTTTCCTTATTGCAGTGTTGCTCTTCCAGTCTGTCAGCAAGGACCAGGAATTTTTCCTTGTGCCTTCTATTAGGTGACTCGCTGGGTTCCAGACCATATGGCATCACACTGCTATAACTGTGACTGTGAATTCTGGTTGGCCAAACGAAGACACCATTGCAGGTAAGATGTTTTGTATGATTTAGTATGACTTAAAAAACAGTGCAGGCTGGGCGCAGTGGCTCACGCCTGTAATCCCAGCACTTTGGGAGGCTGAGGCAGGCGGATCACGAGGTCAGGAGATCAAGACCATCCTGGCCAACATGGTGAAACCTGTCTCCACTAAAAATATAAAAATTAGCTGGGTGTGGTGGCGTGTGCCTGTAATCCCAGCTACTCTGGAGGCTGAGGCAGGAGAACAACTTGAACCAGGGAGTTGGAGATTGCAGTGAGCTGAGATCACACCACTGCACTCCATCCTGGCAACAGAGCGAGACTCTGTCTCAAAAACAAAAACAAAAACAGTGCAATACATATGTATAGAACTAAATGGAATCCGTTTGGAAGTGGATACCTCTTTATAGAAACTATTTTTGTTTGTCCCCAACTTTTCATTTAGTATCACTCATTCTCAGTATATTGGCATTTCTTAATATTAATTAATTTTTTTTTATTAGTGATGAGGTCTTGCTATGTTGCTCAGGCAAGTCTCAAACTCCTGGCCTCAAGCAATTCTACTGCCTCAGCCTAGCAAAGTGCAGAGATTACTGGTGTGAGTCACCCTGCCTGGCTAGTATATTGGCATTTCTGATGGACTCTTCCCTCTTCGTGCTTTGGCAGAAATTGTGGGAATGTATTTTGTGCTGGATGCTGCCACCTGAAGCTGCCCATTCCTGATCAGCAACTCTATGACCCAGTTCTCGTCTGTAACTCCTGTTACGAACACATTCAAGTCTCTCGTGCCAGGGAACTCATGAGCCAACAGCTGAAGAAACCCATTGCTACAGCTTCCAGTTGAATGCCGGGGAGACGACCTGTCCAGCTTTAGCAGGTTTGAAGGGAGGATCTGCTTCAGTTGTAGTTTGGAAGGTTCGTTGGTGTGGCTCATGAAATCACAGAGCTCAGAGATACCATCTTGAGAAATCCTCCTTGGTATCATGAAACTGGAGCAGAGGAATTGTAATTTGGCAGGAGGTCCTCTACTGGTGAGACCCTCACCTTGGGGTAATGGTCCTAACCCAGACCCAGGGTCTGGAAGCTTAATGTTGAGTTGGTGACTCCAGCCTCTTTCTCCTGGAGGTCACAAGATGATGATTGCATAGATGTTACCTGGTGCAAAGTGCCCCAAACAGCAATAGAATGGCATACGTATAACCAAACTCCAAGTGATAACCAGACCCATCTCTCCTCCACCTTGACAAAAGCAGATTATAGTATACAAGATAGGAATTCCTGTCCTATTTGAGATGAACTATATCCTGTACCTCTGTGCTCTGTGTCTGTGCATGAAGGCTCAGTCTTTAGAGGCACTCCCTCTAGTTGCATTAGTACTGTCTTTCTGTGGAGTTTGGTTTGAAGACTGGTTCAGCAAGTGGAGGTTTCAATGTATTTTTCAGTTGGCTCATCAGCCAGCGTTGGTGAATATTCAGTTTAGGGGGACAGTTCTAGGGAGCGAGCCATTTTTGGGAGCAGAGGAAAACTCTGCTGATTGAGTTATTTTGAGCTGTGAAGGCAGTCGTCTCTGTTACACAGTGGCAGCTCTTGAGTTACGCACTGTGAAGAATGAGAAGGGAAAAGTAAAAATTATCCTTGTGAAACATCTGCTGATTGTGCCCTACCCTTTGCGCCTGACTTTTCCTAGTTGTCCTGGTGCTAACACAGGAGCTACACCTTGATCCTCTCCTGGCATGAAAATAAAACAAAGGTTTTCGTTGTTGTTCCATTGCCCGTTTCCCCCATGTTGTCTTTCCCTTGGCTGCTGCCTCCTCTGGGTCACATTGCTTCTTATCCTGAACACTTGACACCTTGAGGGTAGAATTTAGCGTTTGGTTTTTACCTCCTAGCATATGCTGTTTGGTATGTGAGGGTTTCAGTACAAATGCTGCTGTCTATTTCTGTGCACTTAACAATGGAACCCAAACAGAAGAGAATAAAGCCTTGATACCAAAATCGGGAGAGAACATGTGTCCATTTGGACCAAACGTTGTTGGTTTTTTAAAACTTTTATTTTGTTTTTTTTTTTTTTTTTTCATCTTAATATGTACCAGTGGCACTTAACCAAAAGATACAGTGATATAGCCATGTACTGTGGGTGGGACAGATACAGTCTCCTTGGCCTATAATGAAACCACTAGGACTTTATACATTTTCCTTAATTTGTTGACATATAAATGGTAAATTACATTTAGGCTTATCCTGTTTTGAAATGATGGTAGTCATCTTTCTCACTGCTACTTTCATGTTGCTTTCTAGAAAACAGCATTTCATTCCAAAATAACTAGGATCTGCATTTAGAACAAGAATCATTATTTCCCTGACCTTTTCAGTCCTACAGAGAAGCATCTGTGGTTCTTTTGTACTTGCCATAGATGTAACCTAAAAAGTTTTGGCGTATTTAGGTCAGCCTAGCGGAACTTTTTTTTCATTTAAATGGAGCTGAATAATGGATATTTTGTGTCTGCAAAATTCCTGAGATCATTGAAAAAGTAACAAGCTATTCCTTGTTTCTGATACATAAAATTATTTTAAGCATTTTATCAATCATTAAAATTTACTGCCAGTTGTGAGTGGCTTTTAATTAACTTGACTTTCATTGCACTTCACTCTGCCTGTTTTCAAGGAGAGTAAGATTGGTAACATTTGGGGAGACTGTATCTGTCTACTTAGTGTGGCTGTTTTGAGGGACTGTCCCATCAGTGAACAAACTGCATGGCCTTGGAGAGAGACTCTGGGCTCTTGGCTCAGATGTGTTCATTAAATACTCCTTTCAGAGCTGTTGTGGGTGTAAGTGACATGATGTGGCCAAAAATCCAAACTGTGCAGTTGCGTTGTGACAAAAATGCAATGTGCTGTAAAAATTCAATACAATTTAAATAAAATCTCTATATTAGTGCTGCTTTGTTGGGTTGTTTTATTTTCATTTCTAAAAAACCTTAATATTCACTTATTCTTTGACTATGAGTAGAACATTGTACCCCTTTCTCCCAGCAATTTCCAATTTATTTATTTCGAGATGGAGTCTCCCTCTGTTCCCCAGGCTGGAGTGCAGTGGTGCGATCTCGGCTCACTGCAACCTCCGCCTTCTGGGTTCAAGCGATTCTCCTGCCTCAGCCTCCCAAGTAGCTAGGACTACAGATACGCTACCACGCTGGCTAATTTGTGTATTTTTAGTAGAGTCGCGGTTTCACCATGTTGGCCAGGCTGGTCTCAAATTCCTGGGTTCAAGTAGTGCACCCCGCCTGGCCTCCCAAAGTGTTGGGATTACAGACGTGAGCCACTGTTCCCAGCCAATTTCCATTTTCAAATGAACCTCTCTTTTTGAATCAGCACAGCTCTTGTTACATTCTTACTTATTGATTGGCTAGGGATCGATTCTTATGGATTCCGTAGAATTCTATCCCATCTTATCTTTAATGTCTAAAATGCCACCAGCTGGTTGGGCAGGCACACAAGATAGTACTTAGATTCTTGTGATTCCCTCTTCCCAGGGACCTCAGTTCTCATCTAACCTTGGGTAAATTGTCTTGAACAAAATACTGGCTTAAAAGAGTGTATCTTAAAAAGATACAAAAGGCTACTATCTAAAAGGTGAATTCGTTTACTCAAGATATTATACCTCCAGTAGCATCATTTTTGTTTGAGAGGTGGGCAGTTCCACTTAGAAAGATTACAGACCAGACCCTTTGGTCCCCAGAATGACCGACTCTGCTGCCTAACGCACACTTTCTCTGCATTCCAAGTCCCCACTAGTTGGCTGGACCGAAACACACGCCTCTTGGTATTCCACGGTGGATAACTGGGCTTCTCTCTTCGCAGGACTTAGAACTCCCCGGCGGGCAGCCTTCCCGGCCTCAAGTCTGGGAACGCCTGGGGAAGGGGCGCCTGCCCGGGTCCCGCAGGCATCTGGCGGGCCTGGCCGGGCACGCGGCCGCCGAGGGGGAGGTGCCCACGCCGCGTGGCGGGAACTCGAGGCCCCATTGGCCGTGCTGGGAGGCACCGCGGGGCCTCGTGCGCCAACGGTCCCTGGTACGCGGCGGACGGGCGCCGGCAGGAGCGGGCAGGGCGAGGCGAAGGCCGGGGAGGGATCGAGAACGGGGTGGGAGAGCTAGGCTCGGGGGGCGAGGCCCGGGCCCGTCGGGGCGATGGAGGAGGCGCTGCTCTCCACCCCCATCAACCCCAACAACTTCCCTGCCAAGCTGTGGCGCCTGGTGAACAGCCCGCGCTACCGCTCCATCCGCTGGGACGGCCGCGGCGAGGGGCTGCTCATCGACCAGCCGCTCTTCGAGGCCGAGCTGCTCAGCCCGCCCGGGCCGGGGGGAGGCGGCGGCGGGGCTGCGGGGGCCGGGGCCGAGCCCGAGCTCTTCAAAACCACCAACTTCACCAGCTTCATCCGCCAGCTCAACCTCTACGGCTTCCGCAAGGTGGTGCTGGGCGGGCCGGGCGCGGCGGGGCCGGGGCCGGGGCCGGGGGGCGGCGGGCCGGCAGGGGACGGGCCGCTCCATCACTTCCACAGCCCGCACTTTCGCCGCGACCAGCCGCAGCTGCTCGTGCACCTCAAGCGCCTGACTAGCGCCAACAAGGCCAAGCTGGCGGCCGGCCTGGAGGTGCCCTGCCGCCCGCCCAACCGCTTCCAGCGGCTGCTCATCACCTCGGCCTCCGCCTCCGCCGCCGCTGCCTCGGCCGCCGCCGCCGCCCCGTTGCAGCACCAGGAGCCGCCGCCACCTGCGGGGCCCCGGCCGGAGCCTCACGGTGAGTGTGAGCTGCCCGCGCCCTCGCCCACAGCGGGCGCATGGGCGGTGGGGAGCAACCGCCCCTCGAGGGCGCGTTTTCGCACGTCCTCACGCTGGGGGAGTCCGAAAGGCGCCCAGGACCCATTGTCCACTGTGCTCCCAGAGACTGAAAGTCCCGCCACTGCCACCGCCACCATTCTCGGCACCAGCACGGTGGCCACCAGCCCTCCGCTGGAGGGTCCGTAAGCATTCAGCCCCTTCTGAGCCCACTGGCAGCAAAAGGGACCTCCGCCTCTTAGGCTCCCTTCTACTTGTCCCCAGTTTGAACCCCAGGAGTTACCTGGTTGTAAGCCTCCGTTTACCTTCCTGAGACCCACACTGTCCACTGTAAACATGTAGACTAAAGAGTCCTTCGTTGAAACATTGGGTCTGCAAGAAACACAGAAGGGGCTCCTTTGCTCCGGTGGGAAGCAGAGTGGAGTCACCCTACAGGTTAAGGCGGGACGGAACAAAATCATAGTCAAGAGAACTCAAAACATTACGGTTGGGCATGGTGGCTCACGCCTGTAATCCCAGCACTTTGGGAGGCCGAGGCGGGTGGATCACGAGGTCAGGAGTTCAAGACTGGCCCGACCAACAGGATGAAACCTCGTCTCTACTAAAAATACAAAAATTAGCCGGGCGTGGTTGTGGCGCACGCCTGTAATCCCAGCTACTCAGGAGGCTGAGGCAGGAGAATCGCTTGAACCCAGGAGGCAGAGGTTGCAGTGAGCCCAGATAGTGCCACTGCACTCCAGTCTGAGCAACAGAGCGAGACTCCGTCTCAAAAAAAAAAAAAAAAAAAAAGAACTTAGAACATTACAATAGCAGCCAAGGGAAAGTTTTGGAAAAGGTGCCTGCAGTGGAAATTTGTCCTTGAAGAGGGCTGCCACCTTCCACCTATTGGCACATCTAAGAAATCTTAGAAGAAATGTTAAGACAATCATCAGATTTAGGGTTCTGGGTGATGTGTAGAATGGTAGACATTGTTTATATACCTTAAGATCAAAAATACAAGGATACATCGTGGCTTACAAGATATAGTTCCTACGTAGAATGAATTGGCTACACATTTCTTTCATTGTAGCGAATTAGAGCTTGATGCTTCCTTAAAGGGTTATGATTAGACATACATAAGGCAAAAATGGTTTTCTTTACGGCTGTCAAGTTTTAGTTTAAAAAGAATTTTAGAAAGCTCACATTTACAGACTTTGAAGTTTTCTCTATTGGCTACAATCTTTCAGTATTGAAAAAACTTTTTGGTGTACATCTGTATTTAGTAAAAGTTCAGAAACCCTCTGTGATAGTGAATTGTTTATTTTTTATTATTTGTTTATTTTTTTGAGACGGAGTTTTGCTCTTGTCACCCAGGCTGGAGTGCAATGGCGTGATCTCGGCTCACCACAACCTCCGCCTCTCGGGTTCAAGCGATTCTCATTCCTCAGCCTCCTGAGCAGCTGGGAATACAGGCGCACGCCACCATGCCTGGCTAATTTATGTATTTTTAGTAGACAGTGTTTGACCACGTTGGCCAGGCTGGTCTTGAACTCCTGACCTCAGGTGATCTGCCCGCCTCAGCCTCCCAAAGTGCTGGAATTACAGGCCTGTGGGCCACTGCGCCCCACCTATTTTATTTTTTGAGATGAAGTCTCACTCTGTTGCCCAGGCTGGCGTGCAATGGCAAGATCTCGTCTCACCGGGAGGTGAACCCTCTGCCTCCCGGGTTCAAGCGATTCTCCTGCCTCAGCCTCCAGAGTAGCTGGGATTTTACAGGTGCATGCCACCACATCTAGCTAATTTTTGTATTGTTAGTAAAGATGGGGTTTCACTGTGTTGGCCAGGCTGGTTTTGAACTCCTGACCACAGGTGATCTGCCTGCCTTAGCCTCCCAAAGTGCTGAGATTACAGGTGTGAGCCACTGCACATGGCCAAATTATTTTATAGACTTGATTTTTTTTTTTTTTTTTTTTTTTTTTTGAGATAGGATCTCACTCTGTCCCCCAGGCTGGAGTGTAGTGGCAAGATCTTGGCTCACTGCAACCTCCACCTCTCGGGCTCAAGGGATCCTCTCACCTCAGCCTCCCGAGTAGCTGGGACTATAGGTGTGGCCACCACACCCAGCTAATTTTTTGTATTTTTGGTGGATACAGGGTTTCACTCTGTTTCTCAGGCTGGTCTGGAACTCCTGGGCTCAAGTGATCTGCCCACCTTGGCCTCTGGAAGTACTGGGATTACAGGCGTGAGCCACCACCACACCAGGCCTGTAGACTTGATTTTTGATGCTCTTCCTCCTCTTCCAGGAAGGCGAGGGTGGCGATATTCCATTTCTCTGTTTAAAGAGTCCATGATATGAAGCAGTATACCAAGAAACTGACAGGATATAATAATAATTCATTCTTTACCTTCAACTAGGAGAGTAATAAAAACACTTTCAGCATGTTAACATGGATTTACTATAAAGTAAATGTAATCCCATGGGGCCGGGCATGGTGGCTCATGCCTGTAATCACAGCACTTTGGGAGACCGAGGCGGGTGAATCACGAGGTCAAGAGATTGAGACCATCCTGGCCAACATGGTGAAACCCTGTCTCTATTAAAATATAAAAATTTGCTGGGTGTGGTGGCGGGCGCCCGTAGTCCCAGCTACTCAGGAGGCTGAGGCAGGAGAATCACTTGAACCCGGGAGGCAGAGGTTGCAGTGAGCCGAGATCTTGCCATTGCCCTCCAGCCTGGGCGACAGAGCGAGACACCGTCTCAAAAGAAAAAAAGAAATCTGGGTTATTTTTGAGTTAATGAAAAGTTTAAATATACAAATAAAATAACACTATGTTCAACTTAACCTTCGCCCAGGGTTACGAGTGACAACAGTACTTGGTTCATTTGGAATTTAGAAGATAAGGAACTAGGTTATGTGTCCACTGTGGAGTTTAGAAGATAATGGATTAGGTTAAAGTTCCAACAATAAGTTGAAAAAGCAGCAGTGGCATAAGAATGTCCTAAAGGAATATTAGCGCACTTCCGTGTGATGGCCATTGATTTTGGTAGGGAATGGTAAGGGGCAAGGCAATGGAGACAATACCATGGCATACATTTGGCAGAATCTCTGACATGGATTTTTTTTTT